GCTTGTCCTGCCCACCCTCTCCACCCCTGGCCTGGCACTGACCCTGGGTAGGTATGCAGGGCCCAGTGCAGCAGCGTGAAGATGTCCTGGGTGCCCAGGTCCTCATGGTCCAGAAGCCGCTGCAGGTGCTGGCGGAGGCCATGGTGCAAGGTGTGGGCCCACAGCTTCACCACCCTATAATCTCCAGGGCAGCAGGGAGCCACCAAAGCCTCAGCCAGGGCCAGTTCAGCGGGCAGAGCTTCTCGGAGAGCAGCCAGGTGTCCCGCCAGGCCTGGGGGGGCAGGGGCTGGTGCCTCAAAGTAGGCCTCCTCCAGGGCCCTCCGCAGGGCCCCAAGGCAGTGCTGGCGCCAGGCTCGGGGGCGCCCAGGGGATAGTGACTGCAGCTGAGCATCCCTCTTCTCCTCAAACTCGGCCACTCGCACCGCAGCTACTAGCAGGGCTGGATCATCTCGTGCCAGCTGCCGAGCTGAACCCACCACCTTCCCCATGGCTAGGCCCAGCTCCTCCCCCAGAGGTGTCAAGCCCTCAAAGAGGGACAGTTCAGGCCCCCCAAATGGGTCCAGCACCTCATCCCGTAAGTGTTCCAGCTCCCGTAGGACGTCATAGGCCTCCAGGAATCGATTGTCCTTGATAAGGGCCTGAGTTCTGGCCACTGCCTCAGGTACTGTAAAGAGAAGTAGGAAGCAGGAAGTTAGGGAGCAGCCCTGTAGACATCAGGACTTCTCCAGACCTGTCCTGAACCAGCTGTGTGACTTTGGGGCATTTATATCACTTCCTTTCTCTGTGCCTCAGTTTTCTCATTGGTAAAATTCAGTCTCTCAAACATTTATTAAACCCTTATGTGAAAATTAAAATAACATAAAAATGAAATAAAAAATAAAAAAAGCAACGAAACAAAACCAAACCAAAAAAACCCAAAGAACTTCAGGGTTCTTCAGACTTTAGAGCTGATTTACATATCATTTTGTGGATCAGTTGGACTTTAGAAAGGTTCAGCATTTTCTTCCCCAAGCTCCCTCATTGGTTCATATTGGGCCGGTTCAGCCTGGGTAAGGGGTAAGTGGCCTGACTATGGTGCTCAAGGACGACATGGTCCAGTAGAAAGAACACTGGATTTGAGGTCAGGAGATCTGGGTTTGAATCCTGGCTATGCTATCACCTAAGCTCTCTGGGTCTCCATTTTCTTTTCTGTCTTGAATCAAATGAGCTTAAAGGTGAGTCTCTTCTAACTCTCAATTCCCAACCCTGAGCAGCAGGAACATTACGGGACCTCACCTGCCAAGAGTTGAGGCAGTAGGAGTGTCACTGCCTTTAGCTGTCCATGCTGATTGGCCAGCTCCTGGAGAGGCTCCAAGGTGTGGGCAGCCTCGGCCTGGCTTCTGAGTGCCCTCTGGGCCTCAGCCAGGGCCTCTCGAGCCTCCTGGACCTCCTTCAGTGCCAGGCCTAGCTGTTCAAGGCCTGTCTGCACACTCTCCAAGTATGACTGTACAGTAGACTGTGGGGAGAGAGCTTAGGGTGTCAGTGGCAGGTGGCACCCTGCAATCGAGGGGGCAGAGAAGAGAAGGTCCCTCTGAGCAGGATCCTGATATGGGTGGGGCACAGTCCTTTGGCAGAATTGGGGAAGTCAGGGGAGGGGGGTTAGGACAGAATGGGAATGACTGGGACCAGGGATGGAAGATGACTTTTAGGGATCCCAACTCAAGTCTCTCGCTGGCCCCACCTTGATTCGGGACTCAATGGAGCACATTCTCTGGGCTTCCCGGCTTCGGTATTGGTCCAGCCTGGTCAGCTGCTTGGGGCTGTAGAAGATGCCTGAGGCCCATTTCAGGGCTGCCCCTCTGGCCAGCCTTTCAGCCTTCTCTAGTTCTGGCCACTCCAAGTCTGCTTAGGTGGATGGGGGTAGGGTAGGGTGGGGTGGGGTGGGGGGAGGCAGGAAGAGGATTCAGCCACAGCTGTTTCCCATCCCTTGTCCCTGACAGGAAGTCACTGAATCTGGGACCCTGACCTGGTCAGTCTGCCTCTTCTAACCACTCCTAGTTTGCCCAAATGCTGAGGTGGGGGTCGGGTTAGTAGTACTTTATAAATCTCTAAATGCTATATTGTTATGAACCATAATGTGGTCCATATTAAAGTATCATAGTTTTAAGGCTGAAAAGTCCTTAAGTTCAACCCCTCATTTTACAGATGAAAAACTGAGGCCCCAAGAGGTCACATAAGTCATTTGTCCAAGGTCACATACCTAGTAAGTAGCATGGCCTACAAAAACCTAGTTCCCGACTCCATCCTCCCTACACTTTATTTTGCTACCTCTATTGGGTGGTAAGTGGCTGATTGCCTATCCCTTGGAAAATATCCCTGTGACACCCACTCTACTCCCCAAGGCTGTCTCCACGTATTCAGAACTTCTCTCTGAGGCCACCCAGCCATCCATCCATCCATCCATCCATCCATCCATCCATCCATCCATCCATCCATCCGAGTGACCCCCAGGGTGGTCTGCCCATTACCTTGGGGGGCTCCAGATTCCTGCTCCTCTTCTATATCCATGCCCATGGCTCAAGAAGTGGAGAAGGAAGCGGGGGTGCTAGGCCTGATACTGGAATTAAGCCTAGATGTTGGGGGGTGGGGAGATAGCTCAAGCTCGATTATGGAAGCGCAGCTCAGCTTAAAAGCAAAGCAGATTTTTCTCCAGGCAGGCTCCTCTGGGGCAGCTCGGTTCCTGCCCAGCCTACTCAGGATATGGAAGGGAGGAGTGTGTGTTGGGGGGTGTGTGTGGAGGAGGGACTGAAGGTGAAGGGGTGGGCACTGGAGCTGCTGGGAAATGCCCTGTGCGTGATCCACAACGTCTAGATAGTTAAGGGGGGTGGGGAGAGCCCTGAGTGCCAGCCCTAGCCTGGGCATCCTCATCATGAGGCAAGGGCCAAATGTATAACTTGTGCCAACTATAGCTACACTGTACTGCCTGTGACCCCTCTAGGGAAGTGGAAGCATCATAAGCCCCTTATCGCCTTCCAGTGTCCATTAAAGTCTGGCTTTCTGACTCCCACCTCTATGCCCTAGGGCAGGGGTGGGGAACCTGGGGCCTCAAGGCCACAAGGGGCCCTCTAGATCCTCAAGTGCAGCCATTCAACTGCATCCAAGTTTTACCAGACAAATCCTTTTCTGAAGGGGATTTGTTCTGTGAAGTTTGGATTCAGTGGAAGGGCAGCACCTGAGGACTTAGACGGCCACAGGTTCCTCACCCCTGCTCTAGGGCATCCCTCTCTTCCCTTGCCAAATGGATCCCAGCAGATTCAAGCTTCCCATTCTCCACCTTTTCTACTTTATTCTGTCTTCCTCCTGGGGCTTAGTGGGGAATCCAGGGTATAGGTAAAAGTTGGGAGTGAGAAGAGAAATGAAGGAGAAGGGACAGACATTACTTCTCTCTCCATCCCTCCCTAGTATATGCATCCTTTCTCACCCTGCATGTGGTAACCATAGCAAAAAATCTTAGGGATGACTATCCCCCTGCCCCCATGGCAGAGGGATCTGAGGGAAGGCAGGGCAGACCTGTCCAGCAGCAGGGGGTGGGCATTATGACTGGTAGGTCTGGATAAATTCATCGCAACAGAGCATGAGAAGTGGCCTGTTATAGGCATAGGTCAAACTGTGTGCCTCTTCATCCAGCTGCACAGATGCCCCAAGGATGCTCCCCCACCTCCTCCTCTTCCACCTCAACATAGAAGGAGAAAAGCTACTGATCTTTATTCCCACCTGGAGTGCCAGTATGTTCTCTGCTGCAGAGTGTCAGTCAACCAGCGTTTATTAAACACTTAATTCTGTGCCAGGGAAGGTGTTGATCACTTGAGATACAAAGAAAGGGAAAAAAAAAATCCAGTCCTTGCCTTCAGGTAGCTTACTTTCTAACAGGGGAAGACATCATGCAAACAACTGTATGTAGGAGATACATGCAGTGTAAGTGGAAGGTCACCCAGAAGAAAGAGGGTGAATCTTGCCTGGAGGGAAGCATGGCATCACGCCCAGCCCCCAGCAAGCAGTCTTGGCCAGCAGAACTCGTGAGTACGGTGAGAGGTCTGGGACCCCAGAATTGGAGTGTGCAGACAAGAGTGCAGGTGGACTGAGACGAGGTTAGCCAGAGGAATGCCAGGGACTAGGGCCATAGTGGACAAACATTTCATTGGGGAAATCTACAATGGCCCTCAGACATGGTGTAGAGAAGGGTCAGCCTATGGGAGACAGGTGGTCATGGGAGCTACAAATAAGGTGGAAACTTTCAAGGAGCTGAAAAAAAATAACAACAGCTAGCATTTATATAGTGGTTGGCAAAGCACTTTACAAACAATATTTAATTTTTTCCTCACAACAGCCTTGGGAGGTAGGTTATTGTAATAATACCCATTTTACACATTAGAAAAGGAGGCAGGCAGAGGTAAAAGACTTGTCTAGGGTCACAAAGCTAGTAAGTGTCTAAGGCTGCATTTGAACTCGGGTCTTCCTGACCTTGACGCTTAGCACGGAACAGAGCAGGTGTTTAATAAATGTTGCTTGTCTGATTGACAGACCCCCTTCTGCGTCATCTACTGCATCATTTAGCTGCCTTGGATGAAAGAGATGAGAAGGGGGTACCTTTCTCCCCAGCTGGCCCGTGACCCATGCGGTCTCCACGAGGGTGTCACATGACCCGATGCCCTTGGGTTTCTGGCCAAATATGGTAGTTGACAAGCCTGGGTTGTTTTCGCCGTCCGTGGAGGCTGGGCTTTTCCCCACGATCCCTGGAATTCTGCGGCTGTCCTGGAGAAAGGGAATCGCACAAGATCCCTTGTGGCGCCAGGGGCTCTAGGAGGCCGGCCGGCAGGGGCGCACGCGCGCACGCGCAGGCCTCGAGCCGGGCTCAAACGGAAGTGCGGAGCGGAAGTGTCGAAGCGGCTGCCGGCCGGGCTCTGGTGAACGGAAGCGGAAGTGGCGGCGGCAGGCGGCGGGCGCCGGCCTGGCCTGGGCTTAGGGAGGCAGGCTACCATGGCGGAGTCCGGGCCGCAGGCGCCGCCGCCGCCGCCTCCCGGGACCCCGAGCCGGCACGAGAAGAGCCTGGGGCTGCTCACGACTAAATTTGTGTCGCTGCTGCAGGAGGCCAAGGACGGAGTCCTCGACCTGAAACTGGTGCGGACCCGGCCCGGCTCCGAAGGGGGAGACCCGGGGGAGAAACGCGGGCCGGGGATGCCCGAGGGGGAGAAGCGAGGGCCGGGGCTGGACCCCGGGGAGAAGCGAGGGGAGATGCAGAGCGGGTAGCCGGGTGAGCGGCTCCCGGAGAGACCCGGGAGAGGCTGAAGAGGGGCGTCATTGGAAGCAAGTTCTCCCTGCTCACCGACGCCTCGTCTTCTTTCAGCTCTCAGCCCAAATTCCACCTTCTACAAAAAGCTTTTCCCGATCCATCTTAATGACTTCCCTCTGCTTATCGTCTCCAGTTTATCGTGTTCGTGGCTTGTTCGCACATAGTTGTTTGCATGTTGTCTCCCCATTAGACTGTGAGCTCTTTGAGGGCAGGGACTGCTTTTTGGGCTTTTTTTTTTTTGTATCCTCAGCTTGGCACAGTGCCTGACAGATAGTCGGAGCTAAATAAATGCTTGTTAAGAGACGAGGGAGGCAGGAGAGGTGAGGGTCTTGGGGGAATCCTGGAAGGTGGAAATTTGACCAAGAGCCAAGGAACAGTGGGAGGAAGAGATGGGGGAGTCAGACAGAGCATGGAGGGGGATCTGAACTGGAGACTAGGGGGGGTGGTGATCAATGACCAGCCTGGAGGAAGGAGGAACTCCTGGAAAGAGAGAGAAGCAGGTGAAAGAGGGAGGTCTGGGGAAGACCGTCTGCAGAGAATGGAGATTCCTCTTTTACTGGTGAGGAAGAGGATCGTCCTGAGTCTCTGGAAGAGAAGCAAGTTGGAACGAACCTGAATTTGGAGCACAGGTCAAGAGAGTTGTACTGGGCCTGGCAGGGGAATAGTGTTTGAGGTCCATAGGGGAGAGTAGGGCAGAGCACAGGTACAGAGACACCAGAATGAGGACACCAAAGTTAATCCCCCAAGATGTTGTGTATGGCTCTGGGCTGCACTGAGCATGCAGTGCTGAAGTTAGTTGGAGGTGGTGTTGGCCCAAACCTTGGGGACAGACTGAAGCATCTCCTGTCTTCCTCCAATAGGCAGCAGATACCTTGGCTGTTCGGCAGAAGAGGAGAATCTACGACATCACAAATGTCCTGGAAGGGATTGGGCTGATTGAAAAGAAGTCAAAGAACAGTATCCAGTGGAAGTGAGTACTGGGGAAAGCAGAGCAGGAGAGATTCTCATGAGAGATTGAGGTGCCTCTTTGAGTGAGGCAGGTGGTAGGAAGAGGGTTCCTTCATGGAGTGGTGGGCCCTGGGAGGATGTCTACACTAGGAGCAGAGGTCCTGGGGAAGTAAGTTCCATCTCACTCCTCTTTCCTTACTTGGGGACTGGTTATAGGGGTGTGGGACCTGGCTGTAACACTAGGGAAATAGCAGACAAGCTCATCGAATTGAAGGCTGAAATCGAGGAGCTTCAGCAGCGGGAGCAGGAGCTGGACCAGCACAAGGTGTGGGTCCAGCAGAGCATCCGAAACGTCACTGAGGATGTGCAGAACAACTGATATCCTTCCAGGGTCTCCTTCACCCTGTTTTCTTTCTGTCTCCTCTTTCCCACATTCACCGTCCTGGGGCAGACATAATCATAGTTGCCATTTTGGTTGCTCTTCAGGGTTTACAGAGTGTTTTTCTGAAAACAGTCCTATGGGGTTGGTAGTATAAGAATCATTTACATCTAACAAAGGGGAAGATTCTGAAGCTCTGAGAGTTGAGCTGTCTTGGTCAAAGTAGTGCAACTATGAGCATCCAAAGTGGGATCCACAGTCAGATCAGTGGGGTCCGAGCTAGTAGGCCCAGGGATTAGGAAGACAACCATCTAGGCTGGGCAAGGCTAGGCAAGGCAAGGGCTGGTCTCAGTCCTGAAGAGATACAGTCAGGCCGCACCCTGAAGGGTTTTGGGTGTTGGCAAAGAAAGATAGAAGGTAGCATAATAGTAAAAAAAAAAAAAAAAGAAAGTGGATTAAAATAACAATGCTAGTACTAGAAGTTCCTGTTTTCTAGGGTATAAATACAAATACAAAATATTTTCTCTATGCCTATTCAATGAGGAAGGCAGTACACGTATTATCTTCATTTTATTGATCAAGAAACTGAGCTTCTGACTCCAGGGCCATATGCTTTCTATTGCACCATGCTTCAGGAAGCCCTCAGTCAAGGCTGGCACTGGCTCTCAAGTGCTGGTCCCAGAACCAGTCCCTTTCTTGTCATTCTGTCAGAGTCTGTGGCATTCCCTGTGCCACTGGTCTAATTTGACAGCAGATCTCTCCGGCCTGAGGCCCTTTCTGATGACTTCTTGTCACTATCCCTCCTGCTCGGACCCTTTTTCCACCCAGGTTAAACTTGTCAGTACTTTCTTGGGGACTCTACCATGTAGGCATCACAAGATGGCCTGGACCCTACATTCATTCTTTTGCTTGTCCCATGTCTGGGTCGAGTTGGAGGCAAAGACCTACAGAAAGGAGCTGTCATCTTTGCTTTGGAGGAGGGCTCCACTGAGCTGCCCTTTCTTTGGACTTGGCTCTGTAGCAGCAGAATCTCTGACCTTCCCCTCCTTCAGTACCATGTGGAGCTGCAGAGCTAGAAGGAGGGAGTAGACATTGTCTCTAACTTGTCTTCATAGTCTAAACCCTAGGCAGACTTTATGGTTCTTCTCCTTAACCTCTGGCACCTTAGCATATGTGACTCATGAGGATATCTGCAAATGTTTCACGGGTGAGTGGCCCCTTGGGCACTGAGTGGGTGAGTGAGCAAACCCAGATGGTTGAGTGCCCCCTTTCCAACACTCCCTTCCCCCCTCCCTCCATTCACCCAAGCAGGCATGGAAGATTTCAGGGGGAAAGGGTCACTAATGTGGTGACAGGTCAGAGGACTGACCTCCTGGCAGCTGTGGCAACTTTGTGGTTTGTAGTTCAGAATGTGGTGATCTGGCAGAGGTGGTAGGGCTCTGACTAGGGGGTGGGGCTGCCACTCTTGCCTCAGGAAGGTTCCTCTTTGTTCTGCCAGGGAAGGAACTGGGAGGTTGGTCTTGAGGTCCTGGGGATCCCATCTATTGGGCACCCCATGTCCTGCCTTCCAGCCAGCTGCCTATGAAGGCCGTGACCTATCTGTGAGCAGGGTAGGTATTGGGGAGGGGTGGCTGGAGCTTGGAGAATGCTGGTTTTGCTGAGGTGGCCTTCTACTCTTCCATGGCTGCTACTCTGACCTGCGTGAGGGAACTCAGTGTTCTCCACAGAGCCTGCTGGTCTCTGTGAGTGCCTGCCAGGTAGTGGGGGATGAAGGAGGGGTGTGTATAGATGGAGGTTGTTGCTAGTAGGTCTCCCTTATTTATAGCTCAGATTATGTAGTGGGAACACTACCTGTGGCTCCCCTTCATCAGTTATTGTAAGACATAGAGCCAGAAGGAGTGTTAAATACTGACACTGGAAGGGAAGTTATCTAGCCTTATCTTGTTTGTTTTTTTCTTTTTTCTTTTCTTTTATTTTTTGCCAGGCAGTGGGGTTAAGTGACTTGCTGGGGGTCACACAGTAGGTGTCAAGTGTCTAAGGCTGGATTTGAACTCAGTTCCTCCTGACTCCAGGGCCTATCTACTTTGCCACCTAGCTGCCCCATCTACCTCCCTGTTTTGTAGATGAAGAGAATGAAGCCCAGTGTTAAGTAGTAACAGCTCCTGTTTGTATGGGGCTTTACAAATATCTCCTTTTACCCTTACAACAACCCTGGGGAGAAATTGAGACAGAGATTAAGTGACTTGCCCAGGATCACATAGCTAGTGAGCATCTGAGGCCAGATTTGAACTCACATGTACCTGACCTAGATCATTTCTGTAGCAGAGGGAATGATTTGCCTAAGGTCACATTTCAGTTTAATGGCAGGCACAGAATTAAAAACCCTTAAAACCCCTTATGTCTCACTTTATTGTCTTCATTATGCTTTGCTGGCTGTCATGGAGGATGGCTGTAGCTTAGTCTGGACAAATTGGATAGATGATGAGACAGGTGGGAAAGAGAAAGTAGAATCCTGTCTCCTGGACTCAGTCCTTGAGTGATTTGGGGCTCAGGGGTTGGACCTTGACCTTAACTGTGTGACTGTGATGCTTCTGCTTTGGAGGGCAGCATGTTAGATATTTGATAAGGAAGCAGTGCTCGGCCAGGGGGCCAACTGAGAGGTGTCCTCTGACTTTCTCATTGCTTCCCTATCATGTATTCTCAGCGCGATTTCATTCCCTTTGCCATCTTTAGCTCTTGCAGTCTGCCGTGTGCAGAGGTGCTTTCTTTGTAGACTGGGGAAGTGCATTTGGAGAGGCTGTTGGCTTTCTGACTTGGTGTGTCTGGATCCTACTGGGCCTGAATTTCATTGTATGGTGATCCTTGGCCATATCCTGCAGCCTTGAGAGGCTGAGGCAGGGATTGGATGGACTGTTGTGTTTTGCCAGTGGCAAAGGACAGCTATCTTAGGGATTGATGTGTATTGTTCAGCTTTGCCTTGCTCCAGATTGGTTGGGCTAGGTCATTTCTTAGACCATGGAGACCAGGGTGGTCCTGCATTTTGAGTTCCAGCCAATGCAGAATGAAAGCTTATACCCAGGAGAGAACTTCTGGAAAATAGGACCAGAAGTTCACAAAAACCACATCTTTTGTGTGCCTTAGCTTCCATCACCAGGGCAGGATTTTTCTTGCTCTTCATTTTTGGGACCCTTTCCCTGAAGAGACTGAGATGTCCCAGCCTCCCCTGAAGGAACCAGAACTAATTTTGGTGGGGTGAGGTGGGAGTGGAGTGTTCACAGCCCCCCCCCCCACATCCTATCTGTTGTGGCTCTACCCCTTGGTTGCCCTCAGCCTTTGCAGACAATGGCCTTGCTTTCAACCCACAACTTGGTATCTGTGTTCCAGGGGACACTCTGTTGGCCATTCGGGCCCCGTCAGGTACCAGCCTGGAAGTGCCAGTCCCTGAGGTGGGTGCATTTTGGGGAGCGGAGGAGGGCCTAGGCCTCGGAGAGCACCAGCTGCTGAGGCTGATAAGTCAGCAATGGGTGGGTGGAGCAGGGAGGGCATGCAGAGAGAGAACCAAAGTCTGGAGAGACCCTGGTGGCCAAGTGGCAGAGGGGTCAGGAGGAGTACTGGGACTGGCTGAAAGGGGGTCCTTGAGCTTTGAGTCCATGAGGCAGAGCCTCTCCTCTTGGCCAGGCTCTTCTCTCCAGTCGCCCTTGCTCTCAGCTCTGAGCCAAGTTCTGTGGCTCCCTAGGGCCTAAATGGGCAGAAGAAGTATCAGATCCACTTGAGGAGTACAAGTGGCCCCATCGATGTGCTGCTGGTGAATAAGGACGCGTGGAGCTCTCCCCCTGTGGTGGTCCCTGTGCCTCCGCCTGAGGATCTCCTTCAGTGCCAGGCAACCATTCCTTCCCCCACCCAGCCGAGACTAGCATCCTCTCAGCACCAAGAGACCTCGATCCCCAGCAGCCCCCGCCCCTCCACTCCAACCAGCACCCAGGACCAGAGTGCCATTGGGCAGCCAGCTGCCAGCCCCGGTGAGAGGGACGAAAGGGAGGAGGCTGTGCTGTGTTAGGACAGAGGGGTGGAAGGTCAGCTCACAGGAAATGTGGAGCTTCTGTTATCATCAGGCACTAAACCTTGGGTCCAGCCTCCCACCCCAGGCAGAATTCCCTGTGACAGCAGGGAATCTCAGCCTTTCTCTGTGTGTCCTGGTTTCCTTTGGGTGCAGTCTAGGAAGGTCCATGGGCCTCAGATCAGAAGCGTGATGATAGAGCATAAAATAAAGTAGGGTTACCAAGGAAACCACTTAGATTGAAATCCAGTTAGCAAAAAATTTTTTAAAGTATATTTTATTGTTTCCCCCCATTACATGTTGGCAGAATATTTAAAAAAACGCACGAATTCAGAGCCCTAGTTAAGAACTTTTGCTCTCCAGCTGCCCTGGAGCTGGGGAAAACTTCCAGTATTCAGATGCTCAGAAGATCACTATGTCTTGAAGCAATCCCATTCTACTCTGGGCAGTCTCTGAGGGTTAGAAGTTCTTCCTTCTAAATCTTCTGCACCCTGGCCCTGCTCATAAGCCTGACCCTTCTTGGACAGTCATGTAGATATGCCAAGACGGGAGCTGTGCTTTCTCTTTTCTAAGCTAGGAAAGACCCTCGGGTCCTCCAGGTCATCCTGCAGTGGCCTAGTTCAAGGTCCCTCAGCACTGGCTGCTCTCCTAGCCGTCCTTCCTAGTGCGGTGCCCAGCCCTGACCTCAGGAGGCCCTCCATGGGCACGCAGGGATTACTGCTCCAGGCAGTTACCAACATACCCTTCCGGTGGGCATTGTTACTTGTGCAGCTGATCTTGGGAGCCCCAATGCAGCACTTCATACTTATGCTGTTAATATTCATGTTAAGATTCTGTCTACCATTTAGTTTTTAGAGACCTTATACTCTTCTTGTTCTGGAAATTGTTACCAGTAGTGGAAGGGCTTCCAGGGCTGCCCTCTTTCTGGCCCTAAGCATTGACTCCAAACTGCCTGAGACTTTGCTCCTTCCTAGAGTCTCACTTGCCCAATTTTCCTGCCCTTTACAGCAGAGAGGCTTCTAGTTTTGGGGGCCAGGGGCCAACTCAGCCTGGTGGGGAAAACTTGGGGGGACTCATTGCTGTGAGCATATGTTACCCCGTGGCCTAACCTCCGGGAGGGGGATTTGGGGGGTTATAGTTGCAGGGCGCAGCAGTGGCCCTGGGCCAGACAGCAAGGATGTCCTCAGTAGCCTCAGCACTGCGCCCACGGCTGCACTCGACACCCGGCCGCTCCAGTCCTCAGCCTCCTTGGACAGCAGCTCCATCTTGCCCAACCCTTCTACCTCTTTTGAGCCAATCAAACCAGATCCTACAGGCAGTAAGTATTTGCTTAGCTGGGTGGAACAGGAGGGGCAGCTCATGGTGCCTCCTGCTTCTCCCCTCCCTGGTGAAAGGCCATCAAAGATGATCTAGTCCAGTCCTTTCATTTTACAGAAAAGGAAACTGAGGCCCACGGAGTGATTATAAGTTACAGTAGAACCAAAACTAGAACCCAGATTGTCTTGATGTCCATATCCCTGTTCTTGTTCCTATATAAGTCTTGTCTTCCTTTGGTTCTCACCCTGAAGACTCAGACATACTAAGAAAGTAGTGTAAGCTCCACAAAAACCCTTCATGCTGATTGCCCGGGCAACAAGGGAGGCTTTTCCAAGGGTCCTGGCTTTTGGGGCTTTCTGTGTGTCACTTGTAGTCATGGTCCCAGAAGCAGAGCCTTAGACCCTTGGCGACAGTAATGACCACCTTCCACTGGATGACAGTTTGCACTCTTGACATTCATTTCCTCCTTTAATTCTCCTAGCACCCCAGTAATGTTGGCAAAGGAGATAGGCTTACCTTCCCATGTTATAGATGAGGAGACAGCTTTGATGACTCGCTCAGGGTGGCACAGTGAGTCAGTGCAGATGCAGAATCACAGGACTGCCGGCCTCCAACAAATCTTTATTCGGACCATACCATGTGTTGAGCCCTGCATTCAGTGCCCAGGAAAATAATCCCTGCCTGCAGGGAGCTTACAGTGTAGGGTGGGGATGAAACACCACCTCTGTCAGGTAACTGTGACACAGTCTGACATGTTAGAGGGGTGCAGGACAAAAGTGCTCTGGGAGATCGAACCAAGCATGTCCCAGAAGACTTCTGGAGGTGGTGATGTTGGAATTGGGTGGAACAGACACAGAGTTCTTTTGGTCCCCCCACCTCACTCCCTGCTCTGGGTCTTAGTCTTCCAGCTGTCCTGATGAGCCAGGCTCCCTGCAGAAAGAAATGAGAAAAAGAGGTGGGCAGGACTGGAGCCAGGGTCAGCCTTGATTTTATGTGGCCCTTTTAATGGCTGTTTGCTGCAAGTGACTTTGAGACACAGCAGCAGTAGCCTAGCTTGGGGGAAGGAGATGAAATGGCAGCATCTTGTCCTACTGATGGTCTGGAAGGAGGCAGGGTGGAACAGAAGCACCAGGCCTAGAGGGCACTTGGTGGCGGCGAGGTGCAAGGGCTTGGTGGGATGTGGGTGTGAAGGCCCTGACTCTTGTTTTTATTTCAGTACTGGAACTCCCCAAAGAGCTATCGGAAATGTTCGATCCAACGAGAGGTAGGGGCCCCCGCTGAGATTCTTCCCCGTTCTCCCTGTGATCTGATCGCCCCCTCTTGGAATGCTGCCTTTCCTTCTCTGCCTCTCCTGCTGAAGCTGAATGGTGGAGTGGGTGGAGTGGTGCACTTGGGCACAGGAAGGACCTGGCCTTAAATCCTACCTCAGACACTCACTAGCTGTGTGATCCTAGTCAGGTCATTGACTCTCTCTTGGCCTCAGTTTCCTCATCTGTAAAATGAGGGAGTTAAGATCTTTGAGCTCCATGTCTGATTCTCTGGCCCTCTGGTGCTAACCTTTCAAGATTGGGGAGGGAGGATCTCTCTCTTAGGTGGTCTGGCATCTGTGAGGTGGGGAAGGCATTTCGTTAAGACTCAGGGAGCCTCCAGCAAACAGAAAGGGCAGCAGACCAGCGCAGGCCTAGGAAAGATTGCCAGAGCTGCCTCTCAATCTTGAGGCCTGGGCCCAGACTTTGACCCACGAGCTTACTCTCCCTAAGCTTGTTGGCCTAGAGGGAAGTTGGGCTTTCTAGTTAGTTGGCTAACAGCTGGGTAGTCTGTAGGTCAGAGGCCTGGGGACAGGAAGCCCTGTATCAACCCAGGTTTCCAGAGTCTCCCCAATCCCAGTCACCCTTCTCCCTGCTCCCCTGTGGCCTCAGTTCCTACTGCTCCCTATAAGACTTCAGAAGTGGGAGCAGGAGTGTATACCAAACAGCCTTTTCCCCTTCCAGAGTGCATGAATTCCGGGCTGCTGGAGGAGTTGATGTCCTCAGAAGGTGGGTAGCCTGGCAGGGGTGGGGCAGGGCTCTGGCCAGTCATCTAAGAGCATCCACACCTGCTGGCCCAGGTAGCTGGGCAGGCAAACCCCCGGCACAGGCCAGCACTGAGCTGCTTTCTCTCCCACAGTGTTTGCCCCTCTGCTCCGCCTCTCTCCTCCCCCTGGAGACCATGACTACATCTACAACCTGGACGAAAGCGAAGGTGTCTGTGACCTCTTTGATGTGCCGGTCCTCAACCTCTGATCTGCTGCTGCCCCTGGAGCCGTGTGCAGACAAGACTGTTTGACTTGGGGTTGCTTTGGTCCTTCCTTCTCCTGCCATGCCCACTGTCCTCAGGATTTCTCTGGATACAGACTGACCAGCCGCCGGCCCCTTCAGTCCCCCTCCCTTTCCATATTGCACAGTTAGGGTCAGATTTCTTATTCCTTCCACTGGCCAGTTTGTCCATCTGCCCTGCAAAATGGGGGAGAGGTGACCCAATTCTCTCTTTCCCCCCAATATCTTTATCTCCTGTCAACAGGTAGCCAAAGCATTTGCCACGTGCCTCTCTTCCTAGGGCCAGAAATTTCATGTCCCCACCTCTCTTTGCATCCCAGACCTCATCTTCCAGCTCAGGCTCTGCTGTGCCAGAGTGATACAGTATCCTTAATTCCCATCACCAAGGCTACCTAAGAGAACCTACTCCCCTCTCCCCCTCCCTCCATTCCTGCCCATGCTCCTTCCCCCAAGGCCCAAAAGGCCAAGCCCAGGGCCAGGGTGAGGACACAAGTCCATGTGTAAAACAGAACAAGACAAACCAATTTCCTGAGTTTGAACTAGGCTCTTCTGGAGTCTGTAGAGTCCTGCAAACCCTTGTGGAGGGGAGAAGGGGAAGCCAAGCCACGTTCTCTGTGAATCGAGCAGAAATGTGACCGTCCACTTGCCAACGATGTTCCCCTTCCCCCATGTGTCCTACTTGCTGCTCCATAATAGGTTAATGAGAAAGGCCAAGTGACTTCCGAAGCTGGATGGATCCCTGCCCTTGTGCCCCTAGCCTGAGGGCTCCCCCCCTAGCCCAGGGCTGGAAGGAGGAGGCCCCTGCCTCAGCTATGATATGCACCATCCCTTGCCTCGAGTTAGGAAATGTTTGGAAAGAGATTTAGAGAGATTTACAGGAATGAACAGATTCCTATATAAAGATTATTTTTATACTTTTTGCAGTGTAAGGAAATTGCCTGTAATATTTGTACAGTGTCTGAATGAATAAAAACCATGCCTAAGGCTGCCCCGGCCCTTTTTTCATTTCAGCAGCCAGGGCAGTCCCCTCCTGGGAAATGGAGGTCCCTGAACCGTGTGCCATGATGTACGAAGCTGTGCCTGCGATGGGGATGTATGGGGGTGGGAAGGGAACCATGATGTACGAAGCTGTGCCTGCGATGGGGATGTATGGGGGTGGGAAGGGAAGGGCTGAGGGGGGGTATCCACCCCGCTTCGCAAACAAACTTTACTCCTTGGAACTTTGTCCTACCAGAGGTAGCTGGCTCTGCTTCTGGCTGCTCCACTTTCCACCTGTTTGACCTCTAAGGTGGAAGGGGCTGACCGGGTGGTCTCCACATTTGTTCCCGGAGCTGAGGGCTCTGAGTCTCCGCTTTAACTGAAGAGGGCTGGGGCTGGAGGCGGGGCAGGGGCAGGGCCGGGGCCAGCCCAGCCCAGGAGCTCTCCCGCACCCTGTGCGTCCCACCTCCGGGACTCCAACCCGGAACTACGGGGCGCTCCCCAGGGAAGGACGCGGCGTCCGGGGAGTCACGACAGGCGGGCGGGCCGGGTGAGTTCTGGGATCCCCCAAGCCGGACAGACCTCAGGCAAGCCATGGAGAGATCTCAGCTCCCCACCTCAGCCCCCATGTGCCGTGGACTGAACGGGACAGGACGGGACGGGGCCGGGGCGGGGGCGGGGCCGGGCAGGAAGGGTACCGACCAGACCTGTCCTGGCGCGTCTCAGGAATGCGCCCGGCCCCGCCCGCGCTGACCCCCCTCCCCTGTGATCGGGCAGGCGGCTGAGCCGGCGCGCGGGCCATGGCCCCCCCAAGGAACGTGGTCAAGATCGCCATCCAGATGCCGGGGGCCATCCCGCAGCTCATCCAGCTGGACCAGGTAACCCGGAGCCGACACCTGGGCCCCGGCTCCAGCCCCGGACACGCCCCGCCTGCCTCCTTCCCCCCACCCTCCCACTCCGTGTCCTTGGTTGCCCCAACCCTGGCACTCCCGAGTCTTATGGTCATAGGACTTGGGGCTGGAAGGCACCTTAGAGACCATCTCGTTGGAGCCCCTCGTTTTACCGAGGAGACTACTGAGGCCCAGAGCGGTGAAATGTGCCCATTGCCCTCCAGCTTCTCCATCCCTGCTCCCCCAGGCTGGCCCATGTATTCTGCCTAAACTCTGCTGTTCCCTGACCACTAACCCTCCACCGTGAGGCTAGGGTGGGTGACCCACTGCTCCCCCCTGCAGGCCAAGCCCCTGGCGGCAGTGTTGAAGGAGGTCTGCAGCGCGTGAGTTCCCATGCCTCTTGTTGGGGTGGGTGCTTGTGGGACAAGAGAGGAGGGACACTGGGGCTTTGGGATGGCGTGGGTGGGTCATAGATGTGAGACTGAGGGCTGCTCCCTCACTGCAGCTGGAACTTGAATGACCCCGAACACTACGCCCTGCAGTACGCTGATGGCCATCGGAAGTACATCACTGAGAATGTGAGCACTGACCTTCCCTCCAGTGACCTAAAGCCCCTTACTCACGACCACCTTAGTGAACAGCTCCTGTTAGGCGTCCTGGCAATGCTTATTTACCTAACTCCACTGACTCTAGCTTTTGACTTTGTCGACCCCTATCAATAACTGACTGTCCTTTGGACTTCTCATTGACTCACATCCACCTTACTGATCTCACCCCTGACTCACCCACTGATTACTCATTTACTGACCTCACTGATCACTTTCACTGAATCCACTGATTGAGCCCCCCCCCACTAACCCCACTGACCACTTCACAAACACCTCATTGACTGACCTGATCACTGATCTGTTCACTAATGGAATGCTCCCCTAACATCTGACTCCTTGCTGCTGCTCCTGTAATTTCAACCGTCTTTCTACCTTTTTCTCTCTCTTCCAGAACCGCTCAGAGATCAAGAATGGGAGCATACTTTCCCTCAGCATTGCTCCGGTATTGACTTCCTATCCCCATCCCCAACCCACGTTTACCAGCCAGCCCAAGCCCCTGGCTCTCTTCATCTGTGTACCAGCCCAGACATTTAAGGCCTGGAATTTTCCTCGGGTTTCTCAGTCTGCTGGCCCCCACTCTCCAAGTCAGGTATCTTCCTATCCTCCTCTTCCTGCCCCTAGGACAAAGAGGCGGGGAGACTCCTGAATGCGCTGCAGAGTGGAAACAGGGAAGTGAAGCGGGAAGCTCTGAGCCGTCTGGCACTGCTGGCTCCTGATCTGACTTTTGCGGGAGAAGTTATTAACCGAGATGGGCTTCAGCGCTTGGGGGCCATCATCGAAGATGGAGATGAGTGAGTGCGGGAGGGAGGGGAGCCCTGGCCATCCCAGCCCCTGCTCCATCACTTCCCCTCTCCTAAGGATCCCCTTCAAACACCTAAGCTGGAGAAGATCCATAGGTCCCTGAAATACTCTGTGAGTTTGTGAGGCTAGAAAGAATGCTTCCCTTGGGCCGAGTTCAGGAGACCTGGACCCTGCCTGTGCCGCTTAGTAGCTGGGTGGCCTTGGGCAGATTTTTTTCTCTCTGGGCCTTGGTTTCTTCCTCTGAACCCTAGAGTTGGAAGGAACATGAGTCCAAGCCAGACTTCACTTGGACCTGCCTGACAGGTGGCCATTCAGCCTTTGGTGAAAAACTCGGATGGGACTCCCTCCTGAGGCAGCCCCTTCCAGTTACGGTTCTTTCCCCTAATAATTGGCAGGCAGCTTTTCCTTCAAGTCTTAAGTCTGGGGCTTTACAGCTCCCAGCCTTGCTCCTATTTCTGCCTTCTGAGGTCAGTAATGAGGAGCTGGATCTCGCTCCAAATACACTCATCCTCGAAGATAGCTATCATGCCCCCTTAATTCTTCTCTTCCCCAGTCTAGATATTCTCAGGTCCTTCAACTGAACTTTCTTTAGCATGAGGTCCTTCTCCTCTGGACATTTGTCCAGTTTATCAAATCGATACCCTTCCTAAAATCTAGAACTGAGCACAATACCCCCAGATGTGGCCTGACCAGGGCAGAATACAGCAGGACTCAAACCTTCCAAGTCCTAGGCACATTGCCTGTCTTAAACATTGTTTTCTTGGTATCTTTGGTTTTTACATCACCTTAGTTTTGGAATATGTTCTCCTCCCCATCTTCCTCCCCATCTCCTCCCCAACTTCCACTCTAGAGCCATTCTACGTAACAAAATTTAAAAATTAAAAAAACTAACCAACACGGAGTCTGAGAGGATGTTGTGATGTCCCATACCCAGCTGTCAGCCCACCTCTGCAAAGAAGAGACGTCATCTTCGGGGCTAAGCTTGGTCATTAGAATTAAGCTTCATCAGGTTTTTTTTTTGTTCTCTCATTTATATTATTGTGCTCATTGTTTATATTATTTCTCTAGTTCTTTTTACTGCACTGCATCCATTCATAGAAATCTTCCCATTTTTTTTGCATTCATGAGCCACTCAATGGCCATTTGATGGAATGTGCCTTTCTTAGTGCTGTCTAAAATCTCATGAGCTTTTTTGTCTACTAAAAACTCTGAAGATCTTTTTCATATGAACTGTTATCTCACCACTGCCGCCTCTTCCTGTTCTTTTCCACCAGTCTTGTACTGGCCATGTTGTTGTTGTTGTTTAAACCCTGTGTAAGACTTGACTTTTTTCAGTCTGACCTGGATCTGTGATTTCCTCGGCATAGGAAACTCTTGCCATAGATGCATACATTGTCAACTCGTCTCTGACTTAATTAAAGTCTTAGAGATTTTCCCAGGACATTTCAAGGTTGAGTGACTTACGCATGTTGACCACACAGTTATTGTGTTGAATTCAAGTCTCTGACACCAAGACCAGTCCTCCATCTACTTCACTGCCTTTCAACATTTATCTCTGTTCAATCACACTAAGAGGCAGCTAGGTTGCACAGTGGTTCGAGCACCAGGCCTCGAGTCAGAAAGAAGGACCTGAATTCAGATCCTGCCTTAGATGATAGCTGTGTGACTCTGGACAAATCACTTTGTTTGCTTCAGTTTCCCTCAACCATAAAATGGGGATAATAATAGCACCTACGTTGCAGAGTTGTGAGGATCAAATAAGGTAACATTTGTAAAAAGGGCTTAGCACAAAACCTGGCACGTAGTAAATGGCTATTCCTTTCCACCTCCCTACACCTGGACCAGATTCTAACGTGTCCAGAATCTTTTCCGTTCCCGATTCTGCCAGCCAACATGTTAGCCACCCCTCCCAGCTTTGTGCCATCTCAAGATTTGATGAGGATGCCGTTTCTGACTTTATCCAAGTCACTGATAAAGATGACAAACAGCAGAGTAGATTCCTGGGGAACTCCATTAGAGACCTCTTTCCAGAGGGATATCAGACCACTAACGAGCACTCTTGTGGCCACCTATTCCACAAATTCTGAATCTGTCTAGCTGCACTCTTGTCTGGCCTCTGATACCCTCTTTCCCTTAGAATACCAGGAGAAACTTTGTCAAGTGTTTTGCTAAAGCTATATCTGAACTTATTTCCCTGATTTAATTAACCCTGTCCAAAAAAAAAAAAAAAGGAAATGGGGTATATCTGGAAAGACCTGTTCTTGGTGAAGTCAAGCTGGCTCTTTGTGACTACGGTACCCTTTTCTTTTCTTTTCTTTCAGCCAAAGACAAGGTTTATTAGAACATCGATCGGGGGTGGGTGAGATTTAAAGAATCTGCCATATTGGCCAGCCTCTTAAGGAATCTAAGCATTTGTATCGCTAATACAAGCAGGCCAGATCTTAAGAATCTGAGCCTCCTGTACCCTTTCCTAAAAGCTCACTCACCAGCCCTCCCTTTACATAATGACTTCTTGAATTTTGCTAGGAAGACAAGCTTATAGAGGTTAGTCTGTGCATTCCACCCTTTCCTTTTTTGAATGTCAGCACGTTCACCAGTCTAAATCTGGGCCTCACTAAAAGCAGCTTTGTATTCCTTTGCTAATCTATTTCCCTGCTTATCTGCAGTCCCCAGTGGCCATTTTCATTTTCTCCTTTGTGGTCCAAAGGTCATTCTCAGAGAAACAAGCCAAGGTCAAATAAGGGATGAGTAGATCTACCTTCTCATTGTTGTCAATTGTCATGGCTCCATCCACCTGGAGCAGAGATTTTATTCTTTCTGTGATCCTCCTCTTTTCAGTTAAATAAACTGAGAAAGCACTAAGGTTGAGGTGGCAGGGTTTTGGAAAGACCCCTGACTCAGAATCTGAGTCAGAGAAGCTGGGTTGAAATCCCAACTCCACCATTAGCTATATGATCTTGGGGCAGTGACTTCTGGGCCTCTGTTTTCTGATTTGTAAAATGAGGGGACTGGACTAGACTCCTGTAATTTCCTGTATTTTTTCCCCCCAGCCTAGGTGAGGTCCTGGCCCATGGACTGAGGGCCTTCTCTGAGCTCATGGAGCATGGCGTGGTGTCCTGGGAAACACTCAGTAGCAACTTTGTCAAGAAGGTGGGGACACAGGGAGAGGGCAAGGGTTGAGGGAGGGATGGGAAATATAATGGAGACAAAGGGGTAGGTGGCTGGGGAGATCTTGCAGCTCAGCTTAGGGAGCTGTCATTCCCCCTCCATTCCCTGTCCCCCAGGTGGTATCTTATGTAAACATGAACCTGATGGATGCCTCAGTGCCGCAGCTGGCGCTCGGCCTGCTGGAGAGCCTGGCCCTCAGCAGCCCACCCTTGGGCCAGCTGGTGAAGCAGGAGGTGCCCCTGGAAAGGCTGCTGGTGCATCTGCAGGTGTAAGGGTCCGATCTGGGGCTCTGAAGGCCAGGCGGGGTGCAGGAGCAGGGCTTGGAGGTGGCAGCTTTGGGGTCTGGATTCTGGTTGATGCCTTCTTTGATATCCTCTGCTGTCAGGGTGAACCAGCCATTGCAGACCAAAGCCATGGCCTTGCTCACTGCCCTGCTGCAGAATGCCAGCATTGCTGATCGACAGGTGAGGGCGAGGCGGTGGGGGACCACAGGGTCCTTAGGGCCCCAGAGGGAGCAGGACACGTGGGCCTTGCTGGGTAGAATACAGGGTGGCATAGGTGGAGTCCATTCTTCCTGCTGTTATTTTTTCTCTTGCCCTCCTAGACCATGCTGGATTACTTAGGGCGGAGGAATCTTCGCCAGTTCATTTACAAGGTGAGCAGAGAAGGGAGACAAGAAAGGAGCCCTGGCTTCCCAGTCCACAGGAGCTCGAAGAGCTGAAAAGTCCTTTAGAGATTATTTTGTTTGAGCCCTGTCATTTTTCATGATGAAACTTGAGACCGACACTTTGTAGCACCTCTCACCCCAAATCTAGCCTACTTCCCGCTACAACATGCTGCCTCCTCTGGGAATTGTTTGCTTACGAGTCAGAAGGGACCTAAGAGTGTGAACACCCAGTTTTCTAGGAGAGAGTTGAAGCTGTGACATCCGAAGTCCCATAGCTGGCGGTAGACCTGTTACTAGAGCCAGGTCACTGATTCTTGGGGGAGTCCATCCTCTCTGTGGACAAGTGGTCTTGGCATAAAATAACCCCCAGTATGACTCTTTCATTTATTTTTTTTCCCTCTCAAGGCAGCTAGTTGGTTTAGTGGATAAAGCACCAGGCCCCGGAGTCAGGAACACCTGAGTTCAAATCCAGCCTCAGATACTTATTAGCTGTGTGACCCTGGGCAAGTCACTTAACCTCAGTTTCCTCATCTGTAAAATGGGGATAATAATAGCACTTACCTCCTAAGGTTGTTTTGAGGCTCAAATGAGATTAATAGTTGTGAAGCCTGGCACATAGTAGGCACTATATAAGTGCTCGTTCTCTCTCTTTCCCCTCTTTCCTTGTGGTCCACAGCCAGGAGTGAAGGGGTCTTAAAAGTTTGTTTCTGCTTTCTCTCCCCAGAACATTATTCACAGCCCCACACCTCTTGGGGATGAGATGGCCCATCATCTGTATGTACTACAGGCACTCATGCTGGGGCTCCTGGAGCCGCGGATGCGTACACCATTGGACCCTTATGACCAGGTATGGACATCTGTACAGACTGGCAACGTATCCACGAAAGACTTGCCCATGGGTGTTTGCCCTTGTCACGGGGAGAGGGAGCACAGGGGATTATTTCCTCCTCCCATCCTTAGGAGCAGCGGGAGCAGCTGCAGGCCTTGCGCCAAGCAGCCTTCGAGCCAGACGGGGAGTCCCAGGGCAGTGGACTGAGTGCTGACCGTCGCCGATCCCTCTGCGCCCGGGAGTTCCGAAAACTCGGTTTCTCTGTGAGTGATCACCCACTGGTCCTCTTCCCTACCATCTAATGGCTCCTGGCCCCTGACCCCAATGCCCCTCCACCCATCCCTGCCCTTGGGGCTTCAAAAATCTGATCTTCTTTCCCCTTGGTTGTCTGGGTTACTTCTCCCATTGAGGTATCTCTGGTCCCCTTCCTTGACCCAGAACAGCAACCCTGCCCAGGACCTGGAGCGAGCCCCGCCAGGGCTGCTGGCCCTTGACAACATGCTCTACTTTTCCAGCCACGCGCCCAATGCCTACAGCCGGGTTAGTGACTGCAAGCCCATCCTTCCTTCCTCTGCCCCATCCACTTGCCCTTATTCACTCGTGCCAGTCCCCGTCACCCCAGATCCATACCTCTCTGCCATCAGGTTCTTCTGTCCGGTGTGCTGTCCCTCAGCCCCTGCATCTGGATCCAGTTTTATGTCCCATCTCCCTGTTCCCCTCCATCCCTGAGCCTGGGCCCTCTCCTGGGGATTAAGCTGACCACCCCTTCTCTCCTGGCCCCCTCCCCACCAGTTTGTGCTGGAGAACAGCAGTCGGGAGGACAGACACGAGTGTCCCTTTGCCCAGAGCAGCATCCAGCTCACTCTGCTGCTGTGTGAGCTGTTGCGCATTGGGGAGCCCTGTGAGTTAGTGGCCCCTGTCCTGCTTCCTGGTGTTTGTATTGCCCACGGGACACAGGGGAGGGGAGGGGAGGCACAGTGGTCCCAACGCTGCTTACCTTGTTTGTGCCTCAGTTTCCCAGTGTTTCCCCATCTTCTATACCCTCTCCCCATCCCTTTGGAGCTCAGGAAGGGGCACCAGGTCAGCCATAGGGTTGGGCAATCTTGGCAAAGGGCCCTGTGGGCATCCTGGATGGATCTGGAGGTTGGTGGAGGTCTAAGAGCCTGCATACGTAAGTGATCTTCCTGAGCTCTTCTCCCTCCCTCTATGCCCTCCAAGGCTCTGAGACAGCCCAGGACTTCTCTCCAATGTTCTTTGGGCAAGACAACAGCTTCCAGGAGTTGTTCTGCGTCTGCATTCAGTTGCTCAACAAGACGTGGAAGGAGATGCGGGCCACCCAGGAGGACTTTGACAAAGTGAGGGAGGCCACCTACGGTCTGGTGTTGGGAGGAGGCATTTGCAGAAAGGGGAGCCAGGGGCACAGGAGAACGTGTGGACGCTGAGGGCAGATTCATTCCCAGGTAATGCAGGTGGTTCGGGAACAACTGACTCGGACCCTGGCACTGAAGCCAACCTCCCTAGAGCTGTTCAGGACCAAGGTGAACACCCTCAGCTACAGCGAAGTGCTGAGGCTCCGGCAGACCGAGAGAATGCACCAGGAAGGCACCATGGCCCGACCCATCCTGTGAGCCCCTCGAGGGAAGGGGGGGGGGTGGCAAGCAGTGCCCTGGGCCTCCTCCTCATTCAGGCTTCCCCCCAACTCCAGTCCCTGACTCTGATGCCCAACCTTGCTACAAATAATGAGAGCTCATGCCCCACAGCTCACCAGGTGTAGAACTGAGAGTGACCGGAGGTCATCTTGTACCACCCCCTCCTTTCAGAGCGAAGGACTTTCGAGGCCTGGAGGCGGGGAGTGACCTCCACATAGCAGGGGCTCCTTTTTCGGAGGGTCTTTATTGATCTATATAAGGAGCTGCTTTTAGTGAGGCAGAGCTGTAGCTGTTGGGAGAGGTGGTGACATGCCTAGGGTCACCCAGTGAGTAGAGGTGAAGGACTGGATTTGAATCTAGGTCCTGTTGCCACTGAGGCCAGCTCTCCATTAGTATGCAGCTCAAATAGTGAGCAGCAGTTTACTACTTGGAGACAGTAAATCACAGAGCTAGGATTTGAACCCAGGTCTTCTAATGTCAAGGTTTTCCAAGCACTTTCCTCACCATCGCCCTGTGAGGGAGGAGAGACAGAGCAGGATCCTCCATCTTCAGAAGAGGAGACAAATACCCAGAGTCACTATCAGTAAGACAGGAGCTGAGTCTCTGACTCTGGCCTCTGGTGTCCTTGGTCCCACTTGGAGGGTACCATAGGCTGACAGTCTTTCTAGCAGGCCCCTTGTCCTGCTTTGGCTGCAGTCTGGGGAAACCTAGGACCCCTTCTCAGAATCACGTGTTTAAATGACTGAAGGAAAGGCTAAATTTCTAGTGAAAATAAAGGTGTGTTTTTTCCAAGTTCACAGACACCCTGAAATCTACCCACAAATACTTTGTGGGGGGGGTGTCCTATGGACCCCAGGTTGGGAACCCTGCTCTATCTAGACCATACTCTGTAAGCAGTGTCTCCCCTGCCCACAGGGAGCTTCGGGAGAGGCTGAAGCCAGAGCTCTTGGGGCTGATCCGTCAGCAGCGGCTGCTCCGGCTTTGTGAGGGGACACTCTTCCGTAAGATCAGCAGCCGCCGGCGACAGGGTCAGTGTGTATAAGCCAAGGGAGAGGAGGCTGGCAGGGTCGGTGTGCGGAGGGGAGGGGGGGCCCACACTCAGCTCATGGAAGGGGTCCCAGATTGCAAGCTTCCCCCTCACCCCACACCTCTTCTCCCTGTCCCTGCAGACAAGGTCTGGTTCTGCTGTTTGTCCCCTAACCACAAGATGCTGCAATATGGGGACGTGGAGGAAGGAGCAACCCAACCCTCTCCAGAGAGCCTGCCTGACAAGCGTATGAGGGTCCCCCGTGACACTCTCGGGGGTGGGATCCCAAGAAGCTTGGCCCCCAAGTCTCTCCAGCCTCCCCTTCCCCTTCCAGGGTGATCTGTGATAACCTAATCCCTCCTCCCCACAGTCCCTGTGGCTGAGATGAGGGCACTGCTGCTGGGCAAGGACTGTCCCCACGTTCGGGAGAAAGGCTCTGGGAAACAGAATAAGGTGAGGATGGGCAAGGGAGGCAGCTCTGGGGTCCCGTCTGCTCCCTGGACAAGAGGTAGACTGGCCTTTGTTGCCATACAGGATCCCATCTTCATTATCTAGATCCTTACGTTCCTTCTCACCCACGACTATGGAGGGGAATGTGTTTTGTAAACCTTTAATTGCCACAGAAGCATGACCTATTATTGGAGAGGCAGCCTTGTGTCCTAGGGAGATGGCTGGCCTTGAAGGCAAGCTCATGGCCCTGCAATGTCACAACCTCTCTGGACTTCAGTTTCCTTGTCTATGGAATGGGCATGATGCTTGCATTGCCTGCCTCACAGGCCTGTTGGAAGGAAATTCGTTCTGTAGACCATAGAGCAACAGAAACATGGATGTGCAGTTCCTCATGGCTTGCTCGCTTGCTTCTTCTGTGTGCCCGGCCCCTTCCTCCCTCACTCCATCCCTCCTTTGGGCCTCACTGCTGCCCTCTTCCCTTCAGGACGTCTGTGAACTTGCCTTCTCAGTCAGCTATGATGCTGGGGAAGAAGAGGCCTATCTCAACTTCATTGCCCCCTCTAAACGGGAGGTGAGTGCCCAGGCAGGGTCAGTCTGGCCAGGCAGATGGGAGCCTGGGGGTGGGCTAGGAGGGGAAGGAAGGCTGAGGGCTTGGCTCTCAATCTGAAGAAACCAATTGATGCCTGGTCTCTAGTTCTGCCTGTGGACCGACGGGCTCAGTGCCTTGCTAGGTGGGGCCATGGGCAGCGAGCAGACGCGGATGGAGCTGGAGCTGCTGTTGGCGATGGAGACCAAGCTTCGGCTGCTGGAGTTGGAGAACGTGCCCATCCCTGACCAGCCACCCCCTGTCCCCCCCCCACCTACTAACTACAACTTCTGCTACGACTGCAGCATTGCTGAGCCTTAAGGTGGGGCTCAGAGGCTTGGGGAGGGGAGGGCTTCTACCTTCAAATCATTCTCAGGGAAGGGAATGGGGCTCGCCTATGCTGGGCCGCTCCATTTTGGTCTCACCCACTTCCTGTTAAATTATTGGGATACGGTGGAATCTCACTTTTCCCCGCCTCCCCCTGCCTAGGAAAACAACTACCATACCTGCTGCTATTAGGGTGTAGGGAGGGGCAGCTGCACAACTGGACAACTGATCAGGGTAGTCACTACTAAGAAATAAAGCCTGCTCAATTCCTCAGGCCTGTGTCCTAGAAGCTTCAAGCTGAGACAGGAAAGGGTGGCATGGGGAAAAAAGCACTGGGTTTAGAGTCCAAGGGCCTGGGTTTGAAACCCCAACTCTGCTGCTAGGTGATTATGGGCCACGCCATTCTCACTCTGGGCTTTACTTTCTAGCTGGTCACTACATTTCCTTCTGGCTGTGGACCCTGTGATCATTTGGGGGTTCAGAAGTGTGGGCCAGCTAGAGAAATAAAGTTGGTCTTGTGGGGCTGTTCCTGGTTCTGAAGACCCTTTCCAGAAGGTTTCCAGACATTTCTGTAGCAGCAGAACCCATGACAAGCTTTCCAAGGGGGCAGCACTCACTTAGGTCTTGGGCAAATCACTTTGCTCTTGGTTTCCTCATCTGTAGAATGAAAGGAGGTACAGGGAGGATCTCTAAGGCTCTTTCCAGTTCAAAGTCCCACGATGTAGAGATGAGATCAGAGATTTTTAATTTTTGCAGACCCAACAAAGAATTCAGTACTGGGTTGGTCACAGCACTAAGGCACTGGGGGAGAAGCCCAGATCCCCCACACCAGAAACAAAGACTCATTTGTAAACTAAGGCCAGTGATTGAGATGTGAGAAGTGATTAGCAGGAGTCCAAGGCCCAGACACTCTATGCTGTTCCAATCCCTAGGACTCAGTCTAACCATGCCTGTGATATCAGGCCTGGCCTCTAGGAAAGGGGCTGGGAGAACCTGAGCAGCATCTAGGCCTTGTTGAGGTTCTGCTGTCTGAGCTGAGCTGAGGCTCCCTTGGAGGCCGGGAGCACCAAGCCAGGGTGGGAAAGGCAAGGGAGGAAGATGGCACTCCCCGACTTAGGCTCCAGCAGAGGCTATGGAGCAGATGAAGCGATGCCAAGGAAGCAATTCCCCTGTGCCCCCAATCCTGTTAAGGGATTCCTTGACTGAGGAGGGGAGGTGAGCAGCATTGGTCCTTCTCTTGCTCCAGGAAAGATGGTGGGAATGATGAGGCACCCAAGCTCAGGGCACTGGAGAGCAGCATGCCAAGGTTCCAGGGGACAGTGAAGTAGCAGGTGGGCTAAGGATTGGGGTTCAGTGACTGACCTTTATTCAGAGGCTCATAGCTAGGTCAGCCCCCCAACAAAGCGGGATTGGACGCAGGTCACGTGGGGCAGCTGGGCTTGGAAGTGCCTCACGGCAGCCATGCTGATGCCCTGGCACATGGACACGTCCAGCACCGTCAGCTGCCGGCACGCCTTCCCGATGGTGACCAGTGTCCTGTGGGGGGGGGGGGAACGGAGTCAGTGCCGCTCCTTCCCTCACCTGTACGTTGGAGCTGAACCCCTGCACATCCCCCGTCCCCCAGGAGGGTCACTCACTGCTCCGTGAGCTGATTACAGCTGGAAAGGTTTAGGTGCTGGAGCCTCTTCCAGAAGTTGGCAGCCTGGACCCAGCCCCTGTCGCTCAGGCGACTGCAGTGACTCAGGGCCAGGTGCTCCAGGCTGGGACATCCTCTGGCCACAGCTACCAGCCCCGTGTCTGTGAGCTCCAGGAGCAGGCTCAGGGATAGCCGCTTCAGAGAGGGAAACTTCAGGACCTGCAGAGATGGTTGCTGCTCATCCAGGGGTCCTGGATCAGTGCAGCTTGGCCCTGCATTCCTCCAGGCCAAGAGACACCAGTCTAGGGTCCCTTCCCACCTGAACGACCAGTCAGTACCATCTAGTGGGGTCCAGACAGGGGGAGTAGTGAGGAATAGGGTGTGGGGAAAACAGCACTGGATTTTGTACTCAGGACCTGTGGCCAATCCTGCTTCTGCTCTTTATAGGTGGTCCATCCCAAATCATGTCTGAGCATCAGAGGTTTCAGATTTAGAACTGGAAGGGATATGAGAGATCATGTTGTCTGACCCATTTTACAGAAAAGAGTAGTGAGGCCCGGAGTTATTGGTAGAGGTGCGATTTGAATCCAGGTCTTCTGATGCCAAATCCACTCTTCATTGCCTTGTGTGACCTTGGGAAAGTCACTTCCTTTTTTGTTTTTTCTCTGTACAATCAGGGGTTCAGATAATCTTTAGGTTCCTTCCAGCCCTATGATGTGATCCTCTGATCTGTGCCCAAGCATGTGTCCATGACCCCGCCTGACTTCTGTAGGATCTTAATCCCCGGGGCCCTAAGAACCAGCCCTCCCATCTCCCCATTGCTCCCCCTCCCACTGCAGGGCTCCAGGCACCTGGGCCAGGCTGGTGTCTGTCAGCTTGCTGCAGGCAGTGAGGTCAAGCTCCTGCAAGGCCCTCAGCATGAGCAGCGAGGGTGTGAGCTGCTTGGGAGTCTCTTGGGAGGGGGCCAAGGGCTCTGGAGGCAGCTGTGGGAGGAAGAAGCCCATGTCTCCAAAGTTCCTGCTTAACTTCGGACCCTTGTCCTTCTGGTGAGAGAAGCCAATGGGGAGAGAGTGGGGGAGGGAAGGGGGGATGGGGAGACCGTTACAGCGCTGCGAGACCCCAGGGCCTGTGTACTCTCATGGGAGGGGTGGAGGAGATTCAGCTTGGGGCGTCCTGCAGAGCAAGGCTGCTGCTCAGAGCCCTAGTACCACTGACGCTGGGCCAGACTCATCACCATAGCTCATGAGTGCTTTAAAGTTTACAAAATATTTTCCTCAGCAATTCTGGGAGGCAAGGAGAACAGATATAATCCCGATTTTACAGATGAGAAAACTGAGGCTCTAAGATGGGCAGCTCTTTGCGTAAGGTTACAGAGTTAGGAATGAAGAGCCAGGTCTGTCTCCTGAGCGCTCTCCACTCCACCACACTGCTTTGTAAGTACTGAGCTCTCAGACAAAGGGGACAAAGCCAGGCAGGCCTGGGCAAGGTGGAGGGCTGAGGACACTCCCAAGTGACCTTAGACTCTTCCCCAATTCCCTGTTTGCCCTCCTCACCTTCTCACCTGGATCCACCAGCCCCAGGAGGCCCGAGTCAGTGATTTCCTTACACCAAGCCAGATGGAGGACAGTGAGCTGGGGCAGGCTGGCAGAGATGGCCAGCAGGCTGCTGTTAGTGAGGGACACACAGGATGACAGGTCTAGCACCTTCAGGCTGGAGCCAAGCCCCTGGGCCAGGGAGATCACTGACTTGTCCTGGGAAGGAAGAGGGCAGGAGAGGACAGGGGAAGGATGGACTGAGCAACTAGTAATATCTTGGGTCAGGAAGAGTCCTCTTAGGAAATTCCAGAGCCACAGGTCTTCCTGGCCTAGACGGATGGATTTACGTGTGTCCTAATTTACAGATTAACAGGGAAGAAGATCCATGACCTCTCTGGCTCCCCATCCTGTTCTTCTGTTTGTTAGCTTTTATTGCTGAGAAGGTCTTGCTGTAGTTTAACTTGGAATGAGGCAGCTGGATTAAGGCATCTTTCAGCTCTAACCCTGCAATGCTGGCTCCTAAATCGCATCCCTGCTCTGGTCTCTTTTCTATCACTTCATCCAGCCTGCCACCCCTAACCCTAACCCTACTGCAGCTATCCTCCCTACAGCCCGGTCACATCACCATCCTGCTCCAAAACCTTCAGTGGCTGTCCAGAGCTCACAAAATCAAGTCCCAATGTCTTTACTTGATGACCAAGGCCCTAGATAACAGATGGCTGGAAGCCCTTCTCTCCTCCAGCCAAACAGGGCTATTCCTGCCTGCTGCCGTTCTACTCCTCTCCCCTGTGGGGAGCAGGTGGAGGTGGTTTCCTTCCCTCCACCTTCCTGGCCTCCCCTTCAAAGCCCACCTCCTCCAGAAAAGCTTTCTGGGCCGTCCCAACGCTCAGTGAACATTATGTTCCCTTAATCCATTAAGCACTTACTACATGGACCACTCGTAGGCACGTGGCATGGGACGCCTTGCATCATGATACAAATGCTATTCTACCAAAGCCTCCTCTACTGATGTTGGGCTGCGGCCAGGATAGAAGAGAGCGTAGGTAGCTTCTTGAAGGCCATGCTAATAACCTGTTGCTTATGCTGGAATAATAACAATAGCACTTAACAACAGTATGGGCCCAGTGGCAGTCTGTGTGCCTCATCTGAGGACCACCTTAGGTATGTTCAGAGAGGCTCAGCATCAGAGGGGAGGGATAAAACTGCCTGCTACACTGGGGAATGGTCTGGTCTGGATCACTGAAGGTCTTGTGAGATCTCAAATCCCCCATGTAACCATCTCTCTGTCTTTTCACATAGCCCTGTCCTAACTTCCCAAGCTGATTGTAGATCCTTCGATAGCTGGGACCAGATCTCACAAATCTAGGTAGCATTTACAGAGTGCTTTAAGGTTTGCAAAATCCTCATCCTACTTGTTTTATCTCAACAAATACAACTTAAGAGAAAAGGCCTGGGTCTGGATCCATCACTTACTAGCTGCATGACCACGAGTGAGTCTCATGAGGCACAATTTTCTGTTCTGGAATATGAGGATAACACTATTTGCACCTGCCTCCTATAAATTTTGGAAGAAGGCACTTTGCAAACCTTCAGGAGATTCAAGCACGTATATTGCTCTGATTGTGGCCATCATGGTTGGGGTCAGCTCATGTTAGCTGCCCCTCTGAAGCTGAGCCTGCAATGCACTGGCACAGCTACCTCACCACGAGGCATCAGAGGGAAGACTTTTGTGGAGGAGGAGAATGACTATAATTGTCCTGGGAGTCAGCTCTCAATGTATCTGATATTCACCTAAACTCGATTTTAATACAGAAAACACTGGGATTGTGCTGGTCCCCTAAGGGTGGCTCTGCACAGATGTCTCAGGGCACGGCCCTGGTCACAGAGCACAAGACGAAGCCCTCTGTCTCAACTCCTTCCTCCTTGAGCTTCAGGAAAAAAGGGAAGTCAAGGACACACTCACTCACCTTCAGCAAGGAGCAATAGGCTAGCCTGAGAGATGTGAGGTGGGGCGGGGGGCCTTTGGGGAACCCCAGTGCCTTGGCCAGCTCTCTCCCACTCACGAGGCAGCACTCGGCCACGTCTAGGCTTCTCAGCTCCCGGAGCCAGTGCAGGGCTGTGAAGCCAGCATCTGTCAGTCTTTGCAGCTTCTCCATCCGCAGATGCCGCAGGCCCCGCAGGCCCTGCGACACAGCCAGAAGCGCCCCGTCTGCCAGCTCTGAGCAGCCGCTAAGGTCCAGGCTGGTTAGGCCTTGCTGCTGATGGCACAGGGCCGCCACAGCCTCAGTGGAGATGTCCCGGCAGCCCCGCAAAGTCAGCTCCTGCAGATGGAGTCCCACCACCTGTCCCAGGGCCTGAAGAGCTGTGGGGGGCAGGTTCGTGCCTCTCAGGTCCAGGGCCACAAGATGACTGGCTCGCTCCTTCAGGAAGTAGAGGATGTTGTGGAAGGAAAGGATGGCAGAAGAGGCTCGTTGGGCAGACAGATTGTGGTGGGGGTCAAAGGTGATGTGGCAGTGGGCCAGGGAGAGGCGCTCCAGTCTGGGGGCACAGCCGCTCAGGCGGTTGAAGCTGGCATCTGCCAAACAGCGCAGGTTAGCCAGGTTGAGCTCCTGGAGGTTCGCCAGGGCCTCCCGCACCTGCTGTACTGTTTCTGGCTGGTCCAGGAGCATCCCTGACATGAAGAGGCTGTTGCACCCACTGAGGTCCAAGACCTGGAGCCTAGGGCAGCTTGTGATGAGTTCTATAAAAGAAGCTTCCGTCAGGGTGCCCCCACGTAGGGACAGACTGTGCAGGTGTGGGCCCAGGAAGTAGGAGATTGACTGTAGCACATTACTGGTGTCCGAAGAACTGTCCATGCTGGTGAGGCTAACACAAGATACTTGCCTGCGACTCAGGCTCTTGATCGAGGTGAGAGAGGCATAGGCCACGGGGATGATATACCGAACATCTGTCTGGGGGGACAGACATAAAAGCTACTGTCACCTGGCCTAAGGAGGTGCTCAGCCTTAGCATCATACTGGTTTGGGAAGAAATTGAGGATCTGGATCTGTCCAGGTATAACTTAGGGTCAAAGATAGAAGGCAGGGAGTAAGGAAGAAAATAAGAAAAAGGCCTAAGAGTGGGACTGTGGGCATCTCTCTGTGGGAGATGGATCAGAGTGAGGTCCAAGAGGGAGATGGATGTCAGAAGAGCAGGTATGGATGGGAATACAGATGGAGGACATCTGAGAAGCCAGGAATGTTGCAGTAAATGGGAAAAGATGATACCTATGGAGAAGTAGATACTTAGTACCTAAAAAGAGGGTACGTGTAGCTTCCCAGGCCAAGCACTATGCAACAAGGGCAATGGTCTTTTGGTCGGATGCCAAGCAGAAAGCATAAGAGGAAACCCAAGTCCCCAGCGGCAGCCTCCAAACCTAAGGGCAGCCAAGTGTCTTCAGCATTAGGAATGGATGAGTGGACGTGTCAACTGCTAATGATTCCAGCTGTTTCAGGTGGAGGCCCCTGGGTCTAAATCTAGCTCCCGAAACCCAGAAGGCTTGGAGCCACTGAGCATCCATCACTTTATTACAAACAGATGCCAAGTTCCAAGAATGCCCTTAGGCAGAAGACACTGAGAAGAGGCTGGAGGCAGTCCTCTTTGTCTGGACACCTTGCAGCTGGTACAAGACAATTCTGGCTTCTCAACCCCAGCGAGTGCTCATTTCAATAGCTAATGGGGGTCTTGACACCCTGATCAGAATATCTATAGACATTCTTGGCTTCTCAGTCCGTTGCTCAGGAGCACAGAGGTCACCCCAGTGGGGAAGGAAGAAGGGCAGATACTTGTTAAAGGAAGCAAAGGGAGGTGGGACTCCCGAGAAGCCGGGGCAGCAGAACTTGGCCTCGAGCACGGTGGTGTGGGGAGGCTACCTAGAAGAGAAGACGGCTGTGGGAGACAGTGGGTTCAGGATGTTGAAAAACTATCTAATTTAGGAAGGAACTGAGATGAGGAGGGAAGAGATGGCCATTTCTTATACTTTTTCCTTCACAGGCTTGTTATGAGTAAAGTTATAGAAATGTGAACTATTAGTATTATTAATTAGTCTAGCACAGTTTTCTGCACAGTTGGTGCTTAATAAATGTTTACATGATGGCCCAAACATTCCTTGGGCTGGCATCTGTAAAATTCAGAAGAGCATTGATCTTGTTTTTGTTAGATAAATTTGTAATAGTCAGTCAATTATCTCAGAAATAAAGATTGAAATAAATAATTGGAGAAACATTCATTGCTTATGGGGTAGGTCAAGCAAGTATAATAAAAATGACAATATTGCCTGAATTAATTTATTTATTCACTGCTATGCCAAACTCCCAAAAGAATATTTTAAAGACCTAGAAAAAATAATAAAAATTTCAAGGGTAATAACTTTTTTTTAAAGTGGTAAGAAAAGGAGGTCTATTGATACCGGATTTCAAATTTTGCCACAAAGCAGCGATCATTAAAACAATCTGGAACTGGCTTTAAAAATGAGAGGTCAATCAATGGAACAAATTAGGTATGTATCAACAAGATGCAAACAAAGGCAGGAGAATAGCGTTTGATAAATCCAAAGACCCCAGTACTGAGAGGAAGGCCTATTTGACAAAAACTTCTGGGAAAACTGGTCACAGTCTGGCAGCAATTGGGTGTAGACCAATACCTTTCACCATACACCAAGATAAACTCCAAATGGACACAGGCACTAAATGTAAAGGTCACATCATAAACAAATTAGAGGAACAAGAAAGAAATTACCTTTTGGATCTGGATAGGGAAAGAGTTCATGAATAAATAAATGATAGCATTACACAAGGGAAGATGGATACTTTTGATTATATAAAATTTAAGAAATTTTGTAAAAATGAATGTAAAGTAGTAAAAATTAGAAGTGAAGAAGTAACCAGGAAAAAAAATCTTTGCAGCAAGTTTCTTTAATAAAGGTCTTATATCCATGATATATAAGTAACTGATTTGACCTTATAGGACTAAGAGTCATTCCCCAGTAGACAAATGGTCAAAGGATATAAACAGGACATTTCTTGGGGGGGGGGTGTTAGGCAATGGGGTTAAGTGACTTGCCCAGGGTCACACAGCTAGTAAGTGTTATATGTCTGAGGCCAGATTTGAACTCAAGTCCTCCTGAATCCAGGGCTGGTGCTCTCTCCACTGTGCCACCTAGCTGCCCCTAAACAGGACATTTTTAAAGGAAGAAATTGAAGCTATCAACAATCACATAAAAAACGCTTTATCACTAAGTCTGTAAAAATGAGAGAAATGCAAATTACAGTAATTTTTGGGTTCCACTTCACACCTATCAGTCTGGCAAAGATGACAAGAGAAGAAAATGACAAACATTGGAAGGGCTGTAGAAAAGCAGACAGACCAAGCGTGCTGTTGGTAGAGCTGTGGATTGGCCCAGCCACTCTGGAAAGCAATTTGGAAAGATGCCCAGAAAGTTAGTTAACAAACTGTGCATTACCTTTGACCCAGTTATACCGCGATTAGGCCTGTGCGTAATCAAAGAAAGAGGAAAAGGATCCAAACACACACAAAATGTTTATAGCAGCTCTTTTCATTATAGCCAAAAATGAGAAAATTAAAAGGTTGTCCTGTGGAGGAAGGGCTAAATAATTTGTGGTATACGAATGTAACAGAATGTTATTGTGCTATAAAAAATGATAAAATGAGCTGTTTCAGGGAAAACTGGGAAGATCTACATGAACTGATACAAAGCAAAGTGAAGAGAACTAGAAGAACAATTTCTATAATGATAACTTTATAGAGAAAAACAATTCTGAAAGACTTTAGAACTGTAATAACACAATGATAAACCACAAGTCATGAAGAATGAAAACAAAACACACCATTCACCTCCTGACAGAAAAAGTAATGAACTTAAAATGCAGAAACAGACATATATTTTTGGATATTACTAATGTGGGAATTAATTTTGCTGGACTATGAAGTTACGTATTGAGGGCTTCATTTTTCATTAAAAGGTTTTTTTTGCTCAATAGTGAGGACAGATGAATAAAAATTAATTTTTAAAAATTAGCCAAAAATAAAAACCTTTGAAAACAGAGCATTCTTTCTATTATCCATATGTGGTCTACCTATTTTTAGTCCCAGGAGGGTTTCTCCCATACCTCAAGCACTGCTCAGAGAAGGGAAATTCCCTTAGAATCAGGGAAGTAAACAAAAACAATCATGGAGCTAATTACAAAAGCCAAACATTACATGGTAAGCCATTCTACAGGATTCCAACAAAAGAGAATCAGAAAAAATGGAATTATAGGACTTAGGGCTGTAAACAAAAGGTTAACAGAAAAACCAAACAATATGTCTCTTTGTGCAGGACTTACAGAAACAAGAAGAGGATGACAAGGCTACCCTACCCATTTCCATAAGGCATGGGGGAGTAGATGGCACAAGTGGTGATAAGCACCAAATGGGCCTCTCTGGTCATGGATGGGTTCATTGTGTTTGCCTCGAATGAAGTATTGGTAGAATACCAGGAGGCTGACAAAGCCTAAGAAGAATAGGAGCTGCTTCCAGAGGAGAATGAACCAGCCATCTTCTATATCAGCCTTGAGGACTTGCTATTTGGGTAAGATAGCCTTGAGATTCCACCTCCAGTGGGGGAAGAGGTGAGGGGTGGGGAGAAGTAATAAAAAGTACCTCAGAAAGTAGAATTTTGGGGCAGCTAAGTGGCGCAGTGGATAGAGCACTGGCCCTGGATTCAGGAGGACCTGAGTTCAAATCTGGCCTCAGACACATAACACTTACTAGCTGTGTGACCTTGGGCAAGTCACTTGACCCCATTGCCTAGCAAAAAAAAAAAAGAAAGAAAGTAGAATTTTAAAATTGGGATGGATGTTTTTAGTCCATCTAGTCCAAGTCACTTACTGTACAGAGGGGCAAACTGAGGCACAGAGAAACTAAAAGGATCAAGAGATAATCTTTCTTAAATATGGTAAAAACTCATTTTGAAGAATACAGGCTAAATACCGTATAGACAAGTTGCATAAACTTGTTATACCCTGATGAAAATTGCAGTATTAGATAAGTATGTGTGTACAAAAGTATTACTTTAGAAGAAGTAAGGTGCTCCAAGTGTTACCGAGAATAGTCGGCCAGCTCGGCCACCTCAGCCAGCAGTCCAGCCAGCCCCTCCGGCTCTCTAGAAAGGTCCGAGCTCTAGCCTGTGTATTTCTCTTTCCTTCCCTTGCCTAGCAGCACTATACTTACCTCTTTCCAGCTAGCAAAGGAAACAATTGGGTAAAAATACAAATGATAACAAGATTAGATAGGCTGGCATATCAGAAAACAGCAAGCAGCCTGTGGCTAGAAAAGCTAGTCATCAAAGGGGCCAGCACAGCACAGCAGAGATCCCACCCAGGTGCCCAGACAGAGTCTCCAGCCTGCCTCTCTCTGGGTGCTATGGTAAGCTAAGTACCCAGGTGACCTGAGCTCACTCCCCAAGTAACAGCTGTGGACTAACTGACAGCCCACAGGCCTCTGCTCAGGGAGCTCTGGTTAGGATATTTATAGTCTGGGGCCTCAAGCAGCAGGTGGGGAGACAGGATCCAGGAGTTCTATTTTCAGGTCTCCCATGGGCGAGCCTTTTATTCTGAGATCACTAGCACAGAGGCCAACGAAGACCAAAGGGACAGCCTCTATGAAGAAGCCTCTCCTTCTTGGTGAGGCCTCAAAACCAAATCTACTGCTCGGGATATTTAGCCTAGAGAAGACAAGGCTTAAGAGGGAACACGGCCGTGTTGTCCATGTAGCTGAAGGATTATCATTTAGAAGGAGTAAACTTAACTTCTGGTTCCAAGGGGCTGTATGAGGATTAATGATTTCAGCTCAGTATAAGGAGGAATTTCCTAACAATCAGAACTGTTCTAAAAAGGAAAGGACAGGGAAGCAAAAGGGCTTAGTGGGAAAAGCTCTGGATTTGAAGCCAGATGACGCAGCTCAGCTACTGACTATCTGTGTGAACTTGAAAGCAAGTAACTTACCCTCTCAGGTCTCAGGTTTTTAATCTGTAGAATGAGGAAGATGGACGAGATGATCTGTAAATTTCCTTCCCCCTGGCTATGAAATGGGATAGGCAATGTGGAAATGTGTCCAAATGGTCATTAAACTATGCATACCCTTTGAGCTAATGATGCCACCAGTAGACTTATACTTCAGAGATCAAAGAAAAAAAGAAAAGAATCCGTATTTACAAAAATATTTATAGAAGCTCTTTTTGTTGAGCCCTTTAGAAACTAAGAGTACCCATCAACTGGGGAATGGCTAAATATTCTCATGGTATGTGAATGTAATGAAATAGTATTGTGCCATAAGAAATGGTTAAAAAATAGTTCAGAGAAACCTGGGAAGATGTATACGAACTGATGCAGAGAAGTGAGCAGAACCAGGAGTAGCAACACTATCAGACTAACTAGTTGGAAAGACTTAAAAATTCTGATCAGTGCGATGACCGTGATTCCGAAAGGATCGTTTCTGTCAAAAAGGTGAAAGACTGAGGATGCTGAATGTGACATTTGGTTTTTGGAGGGAATTTGTTTTGCTTTACTATGCATAGTTGTTACAAGGAGGTTTGCTTTTCTTTCTTTTTCAAAAGGAGAGGGATTTAGGAGAAAGAGAAAACAGATTTTTATGAGATAAAAAAAATTAAATGATAAATTATTTCCTTCTACCACTAAGTTCTATCATTCTATGTCACCTTGGGAGTAGTGAGTTCCTTGTCATTAGAGACTGGACGACAACTTGGGAGGGATGTTATAAAGGGTATTTCTGCTTCAGACAAAGGTTGGACTAAGTGGCTTGTGAGATCCCTTCAAACTCTAAGATTACTTACTTCCTGAAGGGCACTCTGGGCTGCATAGTACCAGGCTTGATTCACCAGCGAAGCCTCTTTCTGATCCGACAGAGGGAGGAAACTCAATATATAAGACAGCATCTAGGGGAAGACAGCAGTAGAAAGGAGCAGGTGTTTAGATCTGGGGACCTTTGGTGACAGAGGAGATACAGCATTTGGGTAGGAACAATCAGACACAAATAACTACAATACTGATTACCTGAGAAGTACGTTAGAGAATTATGAAACAAAGGGCTTTGTGTTTTTTATTCTACCTAGAAGACCAGACCAGTTCCCACAATGTGCAGGCACAAGGCAGAGAGAAGGATCAATGGCTGGCCACAAAGTTCCAGCATCCCACGTGATAGAAGTTGTACTGTTAGTGTCTATTCGTGGATATGGACACATTGTAATAACTCTGTGGCTCATAGGTTGGGAACCACTGTTCTCTATCGCTTCTCACAATCATTACTCTAGGAAAAAAATCTGGCCTAGTACATAGGCCACTGGGGGGAAATACCTGCATATAATCTTAGAACATTCTTTCTGGGTGTGAACTAATTGTGGACCTCATACACAGTCATCTCTCCCCCACCCTCAAAAAAAAAAAAGCCAAAAAACCTCACTTGTCAATCCTCACTACCTTCCCATATCTCTTCTTCCTTTTGTGGCTAAACTCCTTGAGAAGGCTGTCTATAATCAATGTCTCCACTTCTTTCCCCCTCTCTTTTTAAATCTCTACAGTCTGGCTCCTGACTTCATTATTCAACTGAAACTGCTCTCTTCAAAGTTACCAGAGATCTCTTAGTTACCAAATCTAGTGGCCTTTTCTCAATCCTCATCTTTTTTTTTCTTTTAGTCAATTGGGGTTAAGTGACTTGCCCAGGGTCACACAGCTAGTACGTGTCAAGTGTTTGGTCTGAGCCCAGATTTGAACTCAGATCCTCCTGACTTCAGGGCCGGTGCTCTAGCCACTGCGCCCCACCTAGCTGCCCCTTCTTTTTTTTTTTAATCCTCATCCTTCTTGATCTCTCTTCCGCCTTTAACACTGTCAGTTACCCTCTTCTCAATACCCTCTTCTTGCTAGGCTTCTATGACACTACTCTCTCCTATTCTCAGGTCCCTTGCTGGATCTTCATTTCGGTCATGCCCACTACCTGCAGGTGTTCTCAGGGGCCCCCCTTCTCTTCTCCCTCTGTAGTATTTCACTTGCCGATCTCATCAGCGCCCATGGTTTCCATTGTCATCTCTATGCTAATTAATCTTAGATTGACTTATGCAGCCCTAACCTCCAGTCTCACATCTCCAAAAGCCTATTGCCACATCATAGACCAGATGTCTTATAGATACCTTATTTTTTTTCCAATTACATGTAAAGATAGTTTTCAACATTTACTTTTTATAAGATTTTGAGTTCCAAATTTTTTTTTCTCCCTTCCTCCCTACCCTCTTCTCCAACATAGCAAGCAATCTGATATAGGCTATACATGTACAATCATATTAAACATATTTCCACATTAGTCATGTTGTGAAAGATGAATCAGAACAAAAGGGGAAAGAAGAAACAAAACAACAAAAAAGAGAAAAGAGCATGCTTTGATCTGCATTCAGACTCCATAGTTCTTTCTCTGGATATGGATAGCACTTTCCATCATGAGTCTTTTGGAATTATCTTAGATCACTGTATTGCTGAGAAGAGCTAAGTCTATCAATGTTGATCATCCCACAAGGTGGCTGTTACTGTGTACAACGTTCTCCTGGTTCTGCTCACTTCACTCTGCATCAGTTCATGTAAGTCTTTCCAGGTTTTTCTGAAATCTACCTGTTCATCATTTCTTATAGCACAACAGTATGCCATTATGTTCATATACCACAACTTATTCAGCTATGCCTCAATTGATGGGCATCCCCTCAAATTCCAATTCTTTGCCACTACAAAAAGAGCTGCTATAAATATTTTTGTACCATGGGTCCTTTCCCCTTTTTTATGATCTCTTTGGGATATAGACTTAGTAGTGGCATTTCTAGATCAAAGGGTATGCATACTTTTATAGACCTCTGGGCATAGTTCCAAACTGCTCTCCAGAATGGTTTCAGTTCACAACTCCACCAATAATGCATTAGTGTTCCAATTTTCCCACAACATCTCTAACATTTATCATTTTCCTTTTTTGTCATATTAGTCAATCAGGTAGGTGTGAAGGTGGTACCTCAGAATTGTTTTAATTTGCATTTCTCTAATCAATCTTGTAGACATTTTAAGCACAGCATGTCCAAAACTGAACTCATCTTTTTCCCAAAATCCTCCCCCTGGTCTGAACTTTCCTATTATTGTTGAGGGTACTGCTCATCCTCATCACTCAGGCCCTCAACCTAGGTGTCATTCTCCAATCCTCACTCCTTCCCACTCCCCCCCGCCTCTATATTCAATCTCCTGCCAACACCTGTCTCTTTTCGTCTTTATAATATCTCTAGTATATGCCACCTCTGACACTGCCACCACCCTGGGGCAGGCCCTTTTTACCTCAAAGCTGGATTGTTGCAACAGCCTGCTGGTTGGTCTCCTTGTCTCAAGTTTCTAACCCCTTCAGCCCATCTTCTCCTTAGGTGTCAGGTTACTTTTCCTAAAGTACAGATTTGACTATGTCCCACCCCACCTCACCCACTCCACTTCAATAAATTCCTGTGGCTATTACCTGCAGAATCAAACATAACACCCTAGGTTTGGCATTCAAAGCCTTTCACAACCTGGTCCTCTCCTACCTCTAAGGCTTCTTACACTTTACTTACCCCCATTTAATCTGTGATCCAATGATGCTGGCATCTTTGCTGTTCCTTAGACAAGACACTCTATCTCTTGGTTCAGGGCACTAGCTCAGGCTGTCCCCTATACCCTAAATACTCTCCCCCCTCATCTCTGCCTCTTGGCTTCCCTGGATTCCTTCAAGCCCCAGCTAAAATCCTATCTTCTACAAGAAGTCTTTCCGGAACGCTGTTAATGTTAGTGCCTTCCCTCTATTGATTATCTCTAATTTTTCCTGACTATATAGCCAGTATCTATGTAGCTGTTTGCATGTTATCTACCCCTTTGGACTCTGAGCTCCTAGAGGTCAGGATGCATCTTTTGCCTTTCTTTGCATCTCAGCACTTGGTACAGTGCCTGGCACCAAGTCAGTATTTGATAACGCTGACTGGTGTCCATATGGATGTCCCATAGGTTATTTCAAACTCAACATGTTCAGAATGGAGTTCATGTTTTCCCTAATAACAATTTTCCCAAACTTCCTCATGTCTGTTGAGAGTACCCATCACCTTTCCAAACACCTAGATTCCCAATCTCGGAGTCAACTTTAACTCTTCCTTTTTCCCAACTCTCTTATTCAACAAGTAATCAAGTTCTGTTGATTCTCTGCTTCATGCCACCAATCTAGTTTAGGTCTCCATTACCTCTAGCCTGGCCTACTGCAACAGCTTAGTCTCCCCAGTTCCCTATTCTCCTCTGTCCAAACCATCTTCTAAATAGCTATCAAACCGATAGTCCTAATATGCTGATCTGGACATGTCAACCTCCAATTAAAAATTAAAAACTTCAACAACTCTGTTGCCTCTAGCATAAATGTAACATTTAGAGTCTGATATTAACTACTGCTTACTTCCTATTACCCTCCTTCGCATCCTCCTCATTCCAGTCAATCTGGCCTGCTAGCTTTTTTCCATATGCAATATTTCATTTCCGACCTCCATGTGGGAGACACAGATCCCTGCAGTTATAACACTCTCTCAATCTTGAAATTACTTTGTGTTTACTTGCCCATACTGTTTCCCTAGTAGAATGAAATCTTCTTGAAATCAAGGGATTATTTCTTTTTTGTATTTTTGTATCCCCAGTACCTGGCACTGTTCCTCGCACACAGCAAGCCCTTAATATTTGTTGAATTCAATACCACACATTGGCCTTTCGCCATGAGGATGGGAGGTGGCGTGGAGGAGAGTTGAATATCATAATACCACAAGCTGAGTCTGAGTCAGCAAGAAGCAGTATAGTATATTTAAGGGAGAAATGGGAGGAGAGGAGGAGAAGTGTCTGAAATTTATAATGATGGAATAAGTTAGTTGGGGAGAGCAGCCAAGGGCTGTAAATTTTTCCTCCCCTTCAATGTTAATCGACCAGAAAGCGCTATAAAATGGTGCCTCAACAGAAGGCTTGAAAGGCCGGAGACAACCCCTCTGAGCCTCAATTTCCTCTGTAGAATAAGAGTTGAACTAGATGATTCTAAGAATCTTTCCAAATTTAAATCTGGTCCTTTTATTTAGATATGATCTTTCCCTCCTCAAAACTCTCCATAGCTCTTCTCTTAATCACTTGCCATGTTACAGAACACATTAGAATCTGTTTCTGTGGAAACGTAAGGCCCCTTGAGGTAGAGACCTTGTCTTATTTAACTTCCTATTTCCTTTTACCTGGCAGGTATTTCATTAATGTTATTTTTTTTTAAAGTTGGATAGAAGATACATTCCTATTCCCTTTCTTGCAGAGGTGGGGGACCATTGGTGTGGAACACTGTGCGTAATGTCATTTTTCCAGCTAGTAAATTTTGCTGATTTTTTCCCTCTTTTATTCTTTATTATAAAGGATGACTCTCTGGGAGAAGGTAGAGGAAAGACACAGTGGGAAATGTGGATGGTATAAAACAAGATAGCAATAAAATTGTATTGTTTAAAACAAAACAAAAAAAACTGGGGCTACTGTGGGCTGGGGGAGAGAGATCTTCAGGGTGCTAGAGAGGTCGGGGAGACAACCAGTTGAAGAAGTTCTCAAGTCTCTGAATGGTTATTATGAGAAGCCAATAAGCAGCTGTTTTCTAACTCCTCTAAAGAAAAAAAAAAGAGGGATGAGACTTACATGCTGTTACACAGGGATTAGGGTTAGTCATAAAAAGATGCTTCCTTCCAAAAATAGGAGACAATGGCGTGGGCTCCTCTGGGAGATCATAGCACTGAAGGCCATAGCTGGTCTTGTTGGGGGTGTTGTTATGGAGGGCATTCCTTCTCAAGCAGGGGTTCAGGCGACCTGACTGCTAAGATCTCTTCCCACTCTGAGATTCTAGGATCCTACAGTTTTAGCATTTGCTTGGAGTGACCTGGCAAGGGAGTAGAAGGGAGAATGGGCTGTCCTGGGAGTCGGAATGCTGAGAGCCTAGCTCAACTCTGACACTTGCCTAATTTAACAATGAAGATGGAACTCCTTATCTCTCTCCTGCTCCCTGGAAGAGGTCTTTATCCTTCTATTTCATCAGCAAATATCTCTTGAATGATACATATTTTAAATGCCCACTGCATACAAGGCGCTGCACTAAGTCTGGAAAAGATACAAAGAAGTTGAAGACATGATCCCTGTCTTTGGGGTTTGCAACCTAGTTGAGGAAGCAAAACACGTATAAAAAATACGTAATACAAGGTAGCAGGTATGAAGCCTCTGAGTCCTAATTCTTCCCATATCTAAGCACTGATGCTCTCTCTCTCTACGTCCTATCCTGTAACTCCTCATTTCTTACAATATTGTTTACATTTCTTTTACCCTTATTAATTCCATCTTGTGTTATACTCGTGTCTGTCTTATTCTATTCACTCGTACGCTTGAGAGCAGAATTTTTCCTTTTCGTATTCCCAGTACTTAGTATGGTGCCTTACACATAATAAATGCCTTTGTAGTTCAATGACTTTAGTTGTATCCAACTCTTTGTAACCCCATTTGGGTTTTTTTGGTGGGAGGCAGAGATACTGGAGTGGTTTGCTATTTCCTTCTCCAGCTCATTTTACAGATGAGGCAAACTGAGGCAAACAGGGTAAAGTGACTTGCCCAGGGTCACATAGCTAGTAAGTATCTGGGGCCAGACTTGAACTAAGGAAGATATCTTCCTGACTCCAAGCCCGATATCTGTTTACTGCACCACCTACCTGCCTCTAATAAATGCCTAATTAATGTTTATTTGTTAAACTGCATTCTTGAGGAAGGCCTTCTTTCCTGATTCAGGAAAACCTGGTTCTTCAGAACCTCCTGGTTTCCTGGGACCTTCTCCCTGACTTGTGACACACTACCACAAAATTAATCTTTCTAGATCACACTTTCCCTGTGTCACTGTTTTCCTCCAAACCTACAGTAGTTCCTTCCTGCCTATAAAAAAGTCCAAACTCCTCAAACTGGCTTTTAATGTGGTCTTAGCATTCTCTTCTAGCCTTATCTTCTACTACATTTCAAAGCCAACCTTTGACACCTGTCAGGTCATTTATTTAGCACTTTACTTATTCTCACTTCCATTTGATCTTTACCACTAGGCATTCTGTCCTCCATTTTACAGATAACTCCATGGAAGCTCAAAGAGGTTCAAAGATTTGTCTGTTTGCAAAGTTTGTAAATGTCAGAGGTGGGATTCAAATCCAGGGCTTTGCCGTCTTTAAATCTAGCAGTCCCTCTACTAGGCCATTATACCTCTCTTCTGCAATTTCTTCAATAAAAATTGGTAATTACAAGTCCTACAAGATATGGATTTGTAGACATAGATACAAACAAAAAAAAAAGTGTCCCATGAGCATGCTATGCTCGCATTCATGCTGCTCCCCTTACCTAGCATGCCCCATCCTCTTCTGAAGTCAGCAAGCACTCAGTAAGCCCCTACCATGTGCCAGGCTACTCCTTGCTCTCTAGCTCACAACGTAATGGGGGAAACACCATGCAAACAATTTGGTGTTGGTGTTTGGTCATTTCAGTTGTGTCTGACTCTTCATAACCCCATTAGGGTTTTCTTGGCAGAGATACTGGAGTGGTTTGCCATCTACTTCTCCAGCTCATTTGACAGATGAGGAAACTGAGGCAAACAGGGTTAAGTGACTTGCCCAAGGTCACATAGCTAGTAAGTGTCTGAGGCCAGATTTGAACTCATGAAGATGAGTCTTCTTGACTCCAGGCCCAGTACTCTTTCCACTGTGCCACCTAGCTGCCCAACAACTAGGTATGAACAAAATTTAGACAAGACAAATTGGTAATAATCTTAGAGGGAAGGCATTAACATTAAGGGTTATGGGAAAGGCTTCTTGCAAAAGGTGAAATTTTAAATGGGACTTAAAGGAAGCTACAAAGTGGAGACAAGGAGAAAAAGCATTCTGGGCATGGGGGAAAACCAGTGAAAATACCCAAGAGTTGGAAATGGATTGTCTTGTGCAAAGAAAGGCAAAGACACCAGTATCACTGGATTGCAGAGTAGATGGAGCTGAGAGAATTGTAAGAAGAATGGAAAGGAAGGAAGGTTTAATAAGGGCTTTAAAAAACACACAAAAGAGTTAACATTTGATCCTTGGGGTAAAAGAGAGCCAGTGGAGTTTATTGGATGGAGGTGGGGTGACTTAAGATTTAGAAAATGACTTTGGCAACTTAGTGGAGGAAGCATTGTAGAGGGGAAAGGCTTCAGGCAGGGAGAGTCACTAGCAGGTTATGGTAACAGCTCAGACATGAGGTGATGAGGGCCTGCATCAGAGTGGTGGCAGAGCCAGAGGAGAGAAGACAGCACATGTGAGAAATGTAACAAAAGTAAAATTGACAGGACTTGGAGACAGATTGGGTATGGGAAGTGAGAGTGAGAAGTGGAGAATAACACTTGAGTTGCAAGCCTGGGAAACTGGGAGGATGGCAGAGCCCTCCACAGTAAGAGGAAAGTTAGGAAGATTTAGGGGAAAGATAATGAGTTCAGTTTGGGACACACTGAATTGAAGATGTCTACAGGGCATCCACTTCCTACTATCTTTTAAAATCTGCCCAAAGTTCCAGCTCAAGTCTTTAACTATGATGAGACTAGTCCTCACTCTGCTGCTAACTAGCTATATGGCCCTAGGAAAGCTGTGTGTGTGTGTGTGTGTGTGTGTGTGTGTGTGTGTGTGTGTGTTCAAAGGACCAGTGACATCATGGGGTGATGTCTTGATTTGTGCATGAATTGGATTTAAGTGAGGCAGAGTTGCAGAAAGTCATTAGCCTCCCTTTCTCTTCCACAGTCATGGAGTCATTGACATTCAGTGGCAAGACAAAAGTCAAGATGGCTGGTGATGGCCCTTGATGCAGTGGATGACCTTGGTGTCTTCAATGTCTGACCAAGCTCTAAGAGCTCTACTGGGCCAGCCACCTTCATGGCCATTGGAATAAATTGTTTTCATCTGCTCATTCCTCCAGAAGAAGTCTTCACACGCTTGGGGTAGACACCCCCCTAATCATCAAAGGGTTTGAGGTACATTGGTTACCCTCAACCTGGTTCAGCCCATCTGCCAAGATGGTTTACCAGGGTATGATCAATGGATGTGCTACAGTTTCTTGGAGCCACAGTTAAGAGTTGGGTGAAAGGTAGACACCAAAGGTGGATGAGCAGCCCTGAAAAAGGCTCTGCAAGCTCTCATATCAGAGGTACTGGTTCTCCTTGAGCTCTCTCTCTAAACACAAACACACACACACACACACACACACACACACACGCACACACACTCACTGAACCGTTTGCCTGTTTCTCATCTGTAAAATGACCTGGAAAAGCAAATGGCAAACTACTCCAGTGTCTTTGCCAAGAAAACCCCCAAAGGGGTCACAAAGAGTCAGACGTGACTGAAAACAACTGAACAACAACAAATGGGGCTTATTTTCCTCATCTATAAAATAGGAGTAAAGGCTGCCACAATTCTTATAGTACTTTGTTTGGCTACCTCCTTCACTCTTATCACATACTACCCTGTATCATATTCATTGGTGTGAATCTTATCCTGCCCTCCCCCCACCCCACCCTACCAGCTGGGAAGCTTCTTGTGGGCAAGGACCATGCTGTTTTTCATCTCTGCATTCTTAGCACTGAGCACAGGGCCTTCCTTGCACATAGTAAATTCTCAAACAGGCCTGTGACCTCACAGATGGGGTTTTTTTTCTCCAGCACTGCAGATTGCATCCCATCCATGTTGGCTGCTCTGGTCCACATCTTCCCATAAGGACACAGGGAGTGCATCCAATGCACTGGGACCTTCTTGTCTCACAAAGATGGGGAATAGTGGAGCCCCCAGGATGTCCATCAGTTAGCTACCCCTCCGTTTTCTTTTTCAAGCGTGCATTTCTTTGATGACCATACTTGACTCCAGTTCTTCTCTGCAGTCCCTTATGTGTAGTGGTCTCTTCATGGGAAAAAGAAAGGAAAACTGAGGGACTTAGGGAATTTTGGTCACAGCCTGCTCACATCCATCTTCTACCTCTCCATTACCTCTGATGCTAATTTTTAGTTTCAGAAGAATAGTGTTCCATTATTCACAACCATATAGAGATGGCAGGATATTAGTAGTTGAAAGATGAGCCTTTGTTTAGGTGAAAAGTTTAGGGTCATTGAGGAACTTTACATTTCCCAAAGGCAAACCTGACTATAGTAAGTATACAATAAGTTAATTTAGTGGAACGATGCCTAAGGTTCTCTTCAGATTCAACAACCCCAGCATTTAAACAGATCTAAGTATTCTAGGGTCTAATATTCCATGTTTTTACATTCCTTCCAGCTCTGACATTCTGTGTTCTCAGGTCCCCTCCAATTCTAGTATGCTATGATCTGTCATTTGCTCCAGTGCCTATGGCTCGGTCCCTTTTATGAGTTTTGGCACACAGTAGATGTTCTGCAAATATTTATTTACTTGAGTTGGCAGTCAGATGGGGTTAGAGCCTGGATGATTTAGGCCTGCCACTTCCCAGAGCCTTTCTCAGGACCACAGAGTGCAATCATCCTTGCTGAGAGTAGGGCCATGGATTATAACAGGATGAGGACAGCTAGGTGGTATAGTGGAAAGAGTGGTGGGCCTGAAGTCAGGAAGACTCATTTTCCTAAATTCAAATCTGGCCTCAAACACATACTAGCTTTGTGATCCTGGGTAAGTCACTTAACCATGTTTGCCTCAGTTTTCTCATCTGTTAGATGAACTGGAAAAGGAAATGGCAAGCCACTCCAGTATCTTTGCCAAGAAAACCTCAAATGAGGTACATGACTGAACAACAACACTTTAGATTTTAGAGGAAGGTTGGGAGTAGGGGTGGGGATACTGGAATCCTCTCTAAGATGTTCCACTATTTATTTATTTATTTATTTACTCATTTATTTATTTATTCATTTATTCATTCATTCATTCATTCATTCATTCATTTATTTATTCATTCATTCATTCATTTATTTATTTATTGGCTAGGCATGGGGTTAAGTGACTTGCCCAGGGTCACACAGCTAGTAAGTGTTAAGTGTCTGAGGCCAGATTTGAACTCAGGTCCTCCTGACTCTCAGGACAGAGCTCTATCTACACTGCCACCTAGCTGCCCCCTCCAGGATGTTTTAAAGTTGAATTATCACTCTATAGATAACTCCCAAACTATTTTTCTAGTTCTACTGTCTCACCTGAACTGGCATTTCTAATTACCAGCTGAAAATTTCCATCTGGATGCCCAGTGGGCACTTCAAACTCAGCATATGTGTATTCCTAATGGCTCTCCTGGACCACCTTGTGAGGAAGTTACCAGAGAAATAAGGGGACAGTTGTAAGCAGGCACAAAGATTCCCTAATTCCCCCAGTTTTCTTTTCCTATGAAGAGATAACTGGTGTACCAATGCATTCTTTTCCTTTCATACGGCTGGAAGTAGGAGGCTTCTGAGACTGGGAAGTCTTGGTGAGGAGGGGTACAGTAGTCCATGCTGGGCACAGCAGCAGAATTGGAATGAGGCCTGGAAAACTGTGATGGTTTTGGCAGAGACCTGGGGCAATGTAGGACCAGCAGGATGGCATCAGACTTTGAAGTGGAAACTGGACTGTCTCAAAACCGAACTTGACTGAGAGCTGCCTTGGTAAGACTGAACAGGAGGCAGTTCTAACCCCCAGAGCTCCTGGCTCTCTCTGATTGCTTACCAAGCTGAACTGTGTAAGTTCCAAATCTACAGTTCGTTGCCTTCCATCTTCCTCTCCATCTACTAACTGGGAAAAGGTGCAGAAGAAGGGAAATCGCTAGGGCAAAGCAGCTAGATTTTTAAAAATAGTTTTGCTATTGAAAAGCTTCTTTGTCATTTTCGCCGCTCTAGTACAATGCTCATGGTCACTTCATTTTAATCATGTTGCCAACTAAAAGAGTCAGTCCTTTAAGTCTTATGAAGCTGGTAAGTTGAAAGGAAATTTCCTAAAGGTGGGATGAGGGCCTCAGAGAAGAGTTATTTCTTTTTTCAGTAATATTGCAGCAGTCTACATCAGAGTCCTACATCTAATCCAGGGTAAGTGCCTGGGTGCCACAAGCTGTATGAGCTACTCTGGGTAGCAGAGGGCATGGGAGGGTTGGGTGGAATGGGGTGGGGGGGGTTGGCTGAGATTCTGTAGGCTGAGCACCCCCTCGTGAGCAGTGAATTATTGCAGCCTTTGAGAAAGCTAGCCAACCATGGCCACTAAATAATATCCTTAGAGACAGCTACTTGTTTGGTGACCAAATGGCAGCACCACCTAGTGGCTCATATAGGTATTACATTCCCTCGAAGGTCCGATGAAAGCCTGCCTTTTTGCAGGTACTGAGAGCAAGGTCAAGGAGCTAGGTGTGAGCTGTTATCGTTCTTAAATCACCACCATGTGAGCATGGTCCATAGCAGATTAAAATGTAATTGGGAAGTGTTTAACAAAAACAAATAAAAATGCAATAAAACATGATGAAAACTAAGAGAATATGTGGTCTGCCAGGATTCTTATGTATGGATTGGTAGCCTCCCATATCTCGGTTTGACACCCCTGATTCCAGCCCACATCAACTACTATGTATGAAAAACTAAAATAATCTTTTGCCCTCTACCTGCCCATCCTCCTGACTCACCATTTCTCTCCTTGTCCTCAGGCTTGAAGTTTCAGTCATCTTTTGACTCTTTTCTTTCTCACTCCAAGCTGACAGGGTTCAACAATTCTGCTTTCCCATAGTATTCCCCTACCTGACCTCTAGTCTCTGCTCACACCCCACAGCACCCTTGTTCAGGCCCTCATCACTGTTCACCTATGATATCCTCCTACCCTGTGTCCTTGCTTCAGTTTTCCCCCTCTCCAGGCAACCCTTCACATAGCCTCCAAAATATCTTCCTGATGCACAATACTGTTTGTGTCTCTCCTGCATTATACACACACACACACACACACACACACACCCCACCCCCCAAAAAAACCGTAGACATTTAGTGGCTTTGTTTTCTGGCTAAACTGACCTGCTTGTTTCAATTTGCTTTTGCCCCATCTTTTCTCAGGACATTTATGAAGGGCTTTCCTTTTGCCTCGAATATCTTTCCCCGATACGTGTGTGCGTGCGCATGTGTGTGTGTGTGTGTATGTGTGTGTGTGTGTATCTCTCTCTCTCCTTGCCAGCTGAAATCCTTCTCTTCTTTCCACACTCAGCTCAGGTACCACCTCTACGAAGCATTCCTTCTTCTCTCTGGTTGAAAGTATTTTCTCTTTACTTAGGATTTTTTTCCCCCAGTTCTTTGTCTAGATCTCTCCTTGGCCCCTATCACACACTAGTTAGTCAGTCAATAAGCATTTTTTATGTGTCTACTGGGTGCCAGGTACTGTGCTAAGCATGGGGACACAAATACAGAACAAAGACAGTCTCCGCTCTCAAGGAACTTACAATCTAATGGGGGAAGACGATACACAAAAGAAAGCAGAAGAGGGGGCAGGGGGAAGGAAAGGAGAAGAGGAAGTAGGGGGAGAGGGAGCAGGATGGAGAAGTCCAAAAGCAGTGTCGCTGCTGCTTCACTTTGTATTGTAATCCATCTACATACCTGTCATATTCCCCCCACAGAATGTAAGCTCCTTGAGGGAAAGGACTGCGCCTAGTGCAGGGTCTTGCACATTGTAGACATTTCATAGGTTTGTGATGCTGAATTAGATTCCAAGAATCCCTTCCTAAGTCTAACACTGCGTTCCTGCCTCAGCCCTTTTGCACAGGCCTAGAACCTGTATCTTCCCCTCTGGCCCTCAGAACGCCCAGCAGCAGTCAAGGCTCTGCTCATGGGACTCCCATGGGAAAGTCTTCCTGCATCCCTCCAGCACACAGTGACCATGTATTTCTGTTTACCTGCTGTAGAGAAGCATAGTGGATAGAGAGCTGGTGTCAAAGCCAGGAGGACCTGGGTTCGAGTCACCACTCTGACACATACTGACTATGTGACTCAGTGCATCCACCTAAATTCTCAGGGTTTAGGCATATTTCTGAGAAGATGCCCTCTTGCATTGCTAGACAGTTCTCACCTAATAGTTCCCTATAAGAATGAAAGGCAGCTAAGTAGCGCAGTGGATGGAGCACCAGCCCTGGATTCAGGAGGACCTGAGCTCAAATTTGACCTCAGACACATAACCCTTACTAGCTGTGTGACCCTGGCCAAGTCACTTAACCTCACTGCCTAGCCAAAATAAAAAAAAGGTCAGTCCATTTCCTATCCCTGAATATTGTTTCTCCCTAGTAGAAAGTAAATCTCCTGAGGCCAAGGGTTATTATTATTTAAAACTTTCTTTTAAATTCCAGAGACTGGCACAGTTCCCTGCAAATGGAATCATAGTGGCAAGGCCCTTAGAGGTCACCTAGTCTACTTCCTTGATTTCACAGCTGAGGAGACTTAGGTTAAGTGATCTGCTCAGGATTACATGGGGTCACAGCAGAACAGGGAATCAAAGTAGGCTTTGACTTCAAATCCAGTACTCTTTCCTCTGCCGTCTGGAATCATTAAATGCTTGATGAATCCAACAAAAAAGTAATTGAATAGAGCTGTACAAAGGTCCCGCCTAGCTCTGACATGCAGTGTTCTAAGGCTTCTTCCAGCACTACCGTTTAAATAAGGTCTACTCCTCAGGCCGCTAGGTGGTCCAGTGGATGGAGTGTCAGGAAGACCCGGGTTCAAATCCAGCCTCTAACATTTACTAGCTGTGTGACCGGGCAAGCCACTTCACCTTTGCTTGCCTCAGTTTCCTCATCTGTAAAGGGAGGATAATGATGGCACCACCTCCCCCTCCCTGAGACAATATTTGTAAAGCACCTCGGCAAAACTCAGAGCAGCTCTTGCAGCCCCCAGGAATCTGACCCCTTTCGGAGCTTTAGAAGGTAATGGGGGGGCGGGGGCACCTCTAGAAACACTAGTGTAATCCACTCGAGTGGCCGTGGGTCTGGCGGAGTTTCAGCTCCTCTGCCTCCCCCCCCCCTCAGGTGGAGCCTTCGGGACCTGGATTCTAAGCAGGAAAAGACCTGGGGATACGGGGCAGACAAGGGGGGAGGGGAAAGGCAGGCGTTAAAGAGGGCATGGGGGGGCTGTTGGGGGGCACGAGCTGCTGCGGGGGGGGGCAGGAAGAGTATACAGGTTTGGAGCCGGAGGGGTGCTTCGAGACTCTTATTTCACAGATGAGGAAACTGAGGCACAGAGCGGTGCAGTGACTTGCCCCAGGGGGTCGCCCATCTAGCCAGTGCCTGAGGCGGGACTTGAACCCAGGTCCTCCGGCCTCCCACGTCTAGACCACTCCAAGCCGCCTTCCACGAAGGCCATTTCGGAGGCAGAGGGAGTGAGAGTAGATTGGGGGTGGGGGCCGCCGAAGACAGACCGTTAATCTGAAAACCGAGGGGCAAGCTGGCCGTTTCCTGGGCGACCTCAGGCCCGGGGGCGTGAGCTCTACTCTCACCTCAGGGGGAAGCGACTCGGCCATGCCCACTAGTCTTCCCCCAGCCCGGCCTCCGCCCGCCGCGCACGGGCTGCTGGGTGTCGTAGTCCAGTCGAGGCTCTGGGCGGAGACGTTGGGAGGAAGTGCAATGGCGCACTTCCGTCGCCCATCTGTGACGTCATCGCTCTGCGACCCTTCCTCCTCCCCCTTCCCCCACCCGGTGCGCTCTCCCTGCTGAGCTGGTGCTGCCCGGCGCCCATTGCCGCCGTTCGTTCTCCTCTCCGTCCCGGAGTTGGTGGCTCGGTGACACCATGGCGGTAAGGATGAGACGAGGTACGGGGGGAGGGCGAGGACCCAAGTCTGAGGAAGCTTGTCAAAAGGAATGCCAGTGAAGGAAATAGTCTGAGTCGCAAAAGGAGACCGGGAACTACCAAAAGGCAGGGGGCAGGGGTGACGGAATGTGCCAAGGTGGGGGCCCAAGGGCAGCGAGGGGCTCGTGGAACGTGCCAAAGTGGAGGCCCAAGGGGAGCGAGGGCACAGTGGAACGTACCAAGGTGGGGGCCCAAGGGGAATGAGGGGCATAGTGGAATGTACCAAGGTGGGGGCCCAAGGGGAATGAGGGGCATAATGGAATGTACCAAGGTGGGGGCCCAAGGGGAGCGAGGGGCATAGTGGAATGAACCAAGGTGAGGGCCCAAGGGGAGTAAGGCGGCATAGTGGAATGTGCCAAGGTGGCATGTTCAATCAGCGCATATTTGATAAGTCCCTGCTCTGTCAAAGAATGGTGAATCAGCAAGCATTATTAAGCTCCAGTTATGTGCCAGGCTCTGCGCTAAGCTCTGGAGGTGCAAAGAAAGGCAGAATCAATAAATCAACAAACATTTATTAAGTACCTATAATGTGCCAGGCACAATGCTAAGCATTAGGGATACAAAAAGAGGCAAAAGATAGTCCCTGCCCTCAAGGATCTTGAAGTCTAATGAGTGAGACAACATGCAAAAAGCAATGTGCAAACAAGCTATATACAGGATAAATTGGAGATAATTAACAGAAGGAAAGTATTGGTATTAAGGGGGGGGTTGGGAAAGATTTCTTGCACAAGGTGAGATTTCATCTGGGACTTGAAGGTATACCGGAAGTGGAGACAGGAGGGAGAGCATTCCAGATTGAGGGACAGCCAGATAAAATATTTTGATCAGAGAGATGGAGTATCTTTTTCTGGGGACAGCAAGGTGGCCAGTGACACTGATATACCAAGTATGCGGGAGGTGTGGTGTATGAGGTGTAAAAAGACTGGAAAGGTTGGAAGAGGCCAGGTTTTGAAAGGCTTTGAACATCAGAGAATTTTATATTTGATCCTAGAAGTGATAGGAAACCACTGGAGTTTATTTAATAGGGAGGTGACATAGTCTTGATCTTCACTTTAGGAAGATCACTTTGGGAGCTGAATGGGTTTGAACTGGGGTGGGCAGAGATTTGAGGCAGGGAGGCCCACGCCAACCAAAAGGGCTGCATCAGAGTGGTTGTAGGGTCAGATAAGAAAAGGGAGCTTATATATGTGAAGTTAGGAAAGTAAAATTGTCAGAACCTGGAAGGAGATTGAATATGGGGGTAGGGTGATAGAGAGGAATTGTTGATGTCACCCAAGTGAGCCTGGGTGGCTACCATAATAAGAAAGTTAGGAGAGGGGAGGACATGGGGTGGGGGTAGGGGGAAGATGATGATTTCAGTTTTGGACGTGTTGATTTTTTTTTCTTTTTGGTGAAGCAATCGGGGTTGAGTAACTTGCCCAGGGTCACACAGCTAGTAAGTGTCAAGTGTCTGAGGCCAAATTTGAACTCAGGTCCTCCTGACTCCAAGGCTAGAGCTCTATCCACTGCGCAAACTAGCCGCCCCGGACATGTTGATTCTAGTAGATGTCTGTGGGACATCCAGTCAGTTGGAGCTATAGACTGGTGGTCAGTGGGGCTGGATAAGTAGATCTGAGAACCATAGACATAAGAGATGATAACTGAATCCATGTGAACTGTTTAGATTTCAAGTGATATAGTATAGAGGCACTATGCCAGTTGCTGGAGATACAGAACCAAAAATGAAACATTTCCTGCTTTCAAGAGCATACATTCTTCCAAGGAAATGACATAAATAGGTTCAAAATAATTCCCCTAGGAAGAGCACTCACATGGGAGAATGCGCCAAGATAGACTTCCTGTGGGAGGTGGCACTTGTGCCAAGCTGTGAAGGAGGGGAGGGGTTCTGATATTCTACTGAGTGGAGATGAGGAGTGAGGGCATTCCAGGCATTGGGGAATAGGCTGTGCAAAGGTTCTCAGGTGGAAGATGGACTTTGCAGGCCAGTCTGGCTGGAGCATAGACCTTGTGAGTAATGTGCCCTAAGCTTGGCTTATGGGTAGGCTGGAAGCAGGTTGTAAGAGACTTTAAAAGCCAAAGAGTACAGTGTCTATTTTATCCTAGACAACAGGCCTTAGAGGTGAGGTGAGGCCATTAAGGGTTCTTGAGTAGAGGAGGGACATTGGAAGATCCATGAAAGGGCTGGTTCTGCTGCCTGGGTGACCCCGGATGAGTCTCTTAACCCCTTTGGGGTTGGTTTCCTCATTCATAAAATAAGGAGACATGCCCCTTCCAGCCCCCAAACTATGATCTTATGGACCTCGAAGAGTTGGGAGAACCCCCCCACCCCATGTGGGTGGGAACGGTTAGGGCATGTATCCAAGGATAGTACAAAGACTAGCTCTACCAGAAGGGATATTGGATCATAGGATGAAGATGAGCTGGGTGGTTATGGATGGATTTTTGGAATGAATCAGACCTGGTATTTTGAGGGGAGGGGGGTGGTGCAGAGGCATTAAATAAAAAAGTTGGGGGAAGGCATGAAAGGTTGGGGCAGGGCTGGGCCTGCTGAAGTGTCTCCTCCAAGCCTCCAATTCTTGCTGACTTGCCTGTAGCCCAAAGGAAAGGTGGGCACGAAGGGGAAGAAGCAGATATTTGAGGAGAATAAGGAAACCCTGAGATTCTACTTTCGGATCATCCTGGGTGCCACTGTGAGTGTTCCTATGCCCTCTTTATGCTGAGCTTTGAGAGTTATTGTGGGATCTCCATCACTTTGGGGTTTGGGGTTGGGTGGGAGCTATGTAGATGCTGGACGCTGAGTCCTGGGTGGGGATAAAGCCGGTCCTGTGGGTGTTGAAGGTAGGTTGTCCTTCTTATCAAGCAGTAGGAGCACTGTGGGTTAATTGGAAGCTGGCAGACACCCATAGTGTCTTTCGCAACAGTTTCAGAGAAGTGAAAGGTCAAACCTGGGAGCAGCACCCATTGAGCACTCATTCATTATCTTTTGAAGCTTATCATGGGCTTCATGAGAACCAAACTGGGGAAAGCCAGAGTGGGGTGGGGTGCAGGACCCCGGACGAAGCTCTGACCTGCCTCCCCCATCCTCAGGTCTGCACAGTTTGTTTCCACTAGTAGAGACTCTCAGGGATATCCAGCTCAGTCTTCTACTCCCTGGCATGCTAGGGCTTTGTGTCCACAGAGCTTTTTACCCCTTCTTCCCCTCAACTTTTACCATGCTCAGCAGAGGGGAGGGAGTTGGTTTCTGCTGCGGGTGTCTGGCAGCATAGGAAGGTTATCCCAGCAAAGAGTAGGGGGATGGCTGAGGATTCTGCCCTTTGTCCTGACTTGCTGCCCTTGTTTCTGGTTCCAGGCAGTTTACAGCATCGTGACCCTTGTGATCTTCTACTCTTCGGCATCGTTCTGGGCCTGGGTATGTTTTCTGACCCCTCCCTACCCCAGCTACCCCTGGGCAAAGGCAGCCTGGCAAGATCTCTTCCTTCTCCCCCAGCCTCCCCTGGGGGCACTGACTCTCTGTGTTTCCCACAGACAGCCCTCGTGTTCAGCTCGGTTGTGTATGGGGCCAGCTACCGCTCCATGAGCTCCATGGCCAAGGCAGCCTTCTCAGAGGATGGGGCTCTGGCGGACAGTGGCATTGACCTCAACATGGAGCAGGGAATGGCAGAGTGAGTGTCCCCTGCCAGCCCAGGTGAGCGGGACCTGCTGCCAGCTCACTCCTTCCCCCGGGCCCTGTGCCTGGCCTTTCCAAGTCCATCGTCCCCAGGGGCCCCCTAAATTCACCTCAGCCTCTGACTGTTCCTTCCCTGCCCCCACCTCCCCACAAGGCACCTGAAGGACGTGATCCTGTTGACAGCCATTGTCCAAGTGCTCAGCTGCTTCTCCCTCTATGTGTGGTACTTCTGGCTCTTGGTGAGTAGGATTGAGGGGCTGGAGGGGGGTCACATGTGCCTGATGCTGAAGAGTGCTTCCCTGGCCCGGGGCGGGGGGGGGTGAGACCCCACCTACACAGCCTTCTGTCGGGGGCAGAGGGGAACCATTCAGTTCATCTGTCCTGCCCCCTGTGCCCACGCAGGGGTCTCCTCTGAGCCATCCCGGACAAGCAGTCACCACCTTCCAAGGTGGACTGCTGTTACACAGTTCTTACTTAGGCTGAGCTGAAATCTGGCTTCCTGCCCTAATGGCCCCTCATGTCTCAGTTCTGCCTTCTTGGGTCACAGCCCTCCCCTATGTATACTTGAAAACTGTTGTCTTCTCCAGCAAGCCACCGTGTCCCAATCTGCCTAAGCCCTTCGTTGCCCCGTTTCCTCCCAGGCTCCAGGCCGGGCACTCTACCTCCTGTGGGTAAACATCCTGAGCCCCTGGCTCACAGCCGAGTCAGCCAACTCCATTGCCGAGCCCAATGAAAAGCGCCAGCGAAGGCAGGAGCGCCGACAAATGAAGCGGTTGTAGCCAGAGGTGGTGGAAGGCCAGCCGCAGCTACGGAACTGAGCAGAACTGAGCGAGGCTCAGGGTCAGGGCAGGCCCTGCCTATCCAGTGCCTGGGTCCTGCTCTGTGACTGCCCAGGAGAAACAGACAGCCCATGGGACCTGGACATCTAGATGAACTGGGTCAGGGTGGGCAGAGGGAGGGGGGTGGCTTGTTATAATAAAGAGCCAAAGCTGGGAGCTGTGTGTATCTGTGTTGACGTGTTGGGGGGGGCACCTGCTGGGCAGAGTGTACTTCACCATGCCAAGATGGAGTCCCCAGCGGGGCTACAAGGCTCCCGTGTGCCTCCCCAGGTAGCCGAAGGGCCCTCCAGCAGGAAACAGCACAGCTGGTTGGTTAAGGAATACCTTTATTCCTCTAGGCTAGGAACGTCTCTCACACACAACCCCACACACACACGCACATGCCTAGCACACAGGCTCACACACCAGTAATACTGCTCAGGCCCCTGGACCGAAGGGCACACAAAGTAATGAAATGGCTGGGAGGAGGGGACCCAGCTTCTCGCCTCTTCTCCCCCACTGCCCATCCCCCTCACCTCCCTGGAGTCTAGAGGCCATGCTCTGGGAGGCTCCTTGAGTGGGAGGTAGTGGGGGATGCCCCTCTCACACCTCCAGGCTAGGCCCTTTGCTCAGTCCCAATGCCTGCACCAGGTCTTCACCAAGGCCGCCCTTCAGGGTCCTTCTCACTGCAGAGAGGAAACAACATTGGTTGGCAATGGGGCAAGGGCCCCCTACAGGCCCAGAGGGAATGGAGATCGAAGCAGGAAGTAGTAGTGGATTGGTGCACTGGTGAAGAGTATTAAAAAAAAAAAGGAAAAGAGTACAGAACTAGGAAACATGTCCCTTCCATCTGGGGGTCTCAGCTGGCTTATTTGTAAAATGAGCAAGGTTGGTCTAATGAGCTCTAATGTTTCTTCCAGCCTCAGTATCTTTTCAGAGCTGTTACTTACAGGACTTTCTGTTGCCCCGAGATCGCTTTCGCTCCCGGGCAGCCAGGGTTCGGGGACTGCTCCGGGTCACGGACTGCACCAGTCTGTCCATGATCTCATCCGAAGCGTCAGTGGGAGAGCCTGAGCCTGGGGTCTCCTCAGGGGGTGTTGCTGGGGTCACTGGTGCTGCTGCAGGAGGGTTGTTGTGGGCCGTGCCTGGAGAGATTGGGGCCGGTTCAGGAGATGAAAGAGAAGGAAGCAATGTTCGAATGCCCCAACTCCCAGCCCCTTACCTCGGCTCCTTCGGTTGTGGGTTGGGGCTTCAGACCCACTGATCAACACGTTCCGCATGGTGACATCAGTGTCCCTGTCCCCCTGACCCGGGCCGCTCCCCACAGCCACAGGCAGGAGGCAGGAGGTTTTCTCAGATACCGATGAGAATTTCTCTGTCTGGATGGGAGTGGGAAAGGGTCAGCTCTGGGTCACTGCACAGCCCAGAAAAGGCATGGACAGATTGGGGTCGGGCCGGCAGAAGAGAAGGTTACCTCCGTGATCATACGCCCCCTGGTCTTGTTGCGCTCGCGGCACGTGGCCCGCTTCTGCTGCTGCTGGAGAACGCGCTCCCGGCACGTCCGGTACTCCAGGGCAAACTCTCGAAGCGTCTGGCAAAACTGCATCACCCTCACCTCTCGGGCCGCTTCTGCCGGGTACCCTAAGTACAGCAGGAAGGCGCGGAACCTGGGGGCGTTTGTACGGTCAGGCCTGCGAGCCTCCGCCTGAAGCGGCGCCTCCTCCCTTCCCCCTCCCCCGCATCCCACCTGTTGCACATGCGTCGGTGTACCACTTTGAGCATGGCAATGCGCCTGACACACTGGCTTAGAAAGTGGGTGAGGCGGGCACGCAGGGCAGGCGTCAGGTCGTGTTTAGTCAGGCTCTTCAGATTCTCCTCTGCCGCCTGGCTCCGCCGCTCCAGCTGCCCCAAGTTCTCAGCCAGCACCTCAAAGTCCACCTGGAAGCAGTGATGTGGTCCCTAGCCTGGGTGGGCAGCTTCCCCCCACCCCCCTCACTGCCCCCCCCCGGGACCATCCTCCCCGGCACTGAGGAGCAGTGGGGCCTCCATTTCCCCCCAGCTGACCTTGGCACACCGAGTGAGGGCTGGGATCTCCGAGTAGAGGTCCGAGGACTCTGGCTGGCTCTGGAGCACCAGGGTGCAGAGATGATACAGCAGGGATTGCCTCCGCACAGTGTCTTTCACTTCAGACACCTTCTCCAGATAGCTCAGCTCAAATCCACTGCTCTGAAATGGCCACAGGCTCAGCCTACAGTGCCCAACTCCCTCCCCTCCTTTGTCCTCCAGTTCTGGGCCCCCTCAGTGCGGGGCAGCTGAGCTTCTCCCCCTTTCTGGTCCCACTCACCTGGGAGTTATTGAGGAAATTGCCCACAGCCAGCAGGGTTGCTAGGATGCAGCGGAAGGTAGGGTTCTGGGCCAGCTGTTCCATCCCCAGCTTGAGGTCAAACAGCGGCTCTGCGATCTCCTAGCGGGTGGGGACGGGTCCCACAGTTACTACACTTAGATACCCTCTGATCCGGAGGCATATAAAAAACATTTGTCCCACCATTTGAAAAAAATTCTGTTTTTTAAAAAGTACTTTTATCGTTAACCCTTCTGCAAAGGATTGATTCTTCTACCATTTCTTTGTTTGCTATTGAGCCTCAAAATACCAATGTACCACTCCCTCCCATACCTACTTCCAACCCGACTTGGGCTTATTCCAACAGGTTCAGTCATACCCGTTCCATGGTCTCATAATCTAGCTTAAAGGCCCATAGCTGTAGTCGGGCAGCCAACCCGCCAATGGAGGCGAGGGTCAACAGGAAGCTCTCAGCTGGACCCAATGGGATGTCCGGGTTGGCCAGCTGGGCCTCTTGGATCTTCTGCTTTTCTTCCTCCGTAGGCATCATTGTCAGCAACTTCTGTGGATATACCATGGGCCCCTCAGCTTGTATCTCCCCATTTGTCATAGGACCAGACTTTGGAGCTGGATGGGTTCTGGGAAGCACTGAGCCCAGTCCTCTTATTTTAGAGCAGAGGAGACCTACCCAGAGAGTAAAGCAATTTGCCTAAGGTCACACGGGGCCAGAATTTGAACCTTTGGGACAAGTACAGGTTTCCCATGACCCCAACCGACCCACCTCCATCTGTGCAGAATTAACTCCTGGCCCTTAACAAGATGATAGCAAAATCCCTCTTGGGATGGTGCTACCACTCCTAAGGTGCTGCCCTGTGAAGAAATAGCCCTTTTTGATTGGCAGGTAGAAAGTACAGGTGTCAGGGGCAGCTAGGTGGCGCAGTGGATAGAGCACCGGCCCTGGATTCAGGAGGACCTGAGTTCAAATCAAGCCTCAGACACATAACACTTACTAGCTGTGTGACCTTGGGCAAGTCACTTAACCCCATTGCCTAACCAAAAATAAATAAATAAAATAAAATAAAATGAAAATTTATTTAAAAAAAAAAAGAAAGTACAGGTGTCCACTACATGACTACATAATATATGACTAATTCATCCTATGGCTATATGCATTATGTATTTAAAATGTGTGAAGCACAAATGTTTCCTAGGGTGGTGAGGAGGAAGGTGTGTGACCACCTACTTATTCCCCTGGGGGACTGGGTGGAATTGTAGGAAACTGGAAAACCCCAGGTGGAGGCTGATTAATAACACTCCTTGGTTAGTGGGAAAACTAAGAGACAGTTTAGACGTCTAGAGACGGGTTGTAGATCAGTGGAGCAAAAGGGACATTAGAATGCTGAGCTGAATATCACCCCTCTCCCATTTTGGAGATGAAGAAACTGAGAGGTGACATTCTGAAACCAAAGGCCAGTCTGGGAAAATGAGTCAGGCTTGGCCAGAAATGTGTATTGGCCATGCAGAAGCTGATCAAGGATCCCTGGGATGGAATCCTTGGATTCTGTCAATTCCTCCAAGCTCCGAGTCCTGTGTTTTCTACCTCTGTCAGAAACATGAGTCCAAACCAGAGGGGTCTGAGTGAATTCTGAGCTCTGAACTCCACCCCCTTCTCCAGGCTTCCTTAGTTTCCCTGCTTGTAAAAAGAAAGATGTGGACCAAATGACCTCTATCCTTGGGAAATCTACTTCTGGCTTGTGGGCAGAGCTGAGATTGAGTTGTATTGCTAGAAGGAGATGGGAGGGAGCTGCTATCCAAAGCCCAGGGGATGGGGCAGAAAGAGGAGCAGTTGGTATTGTCCAGGTTACAGAGAAACTTTGAACAGCAGGTTCTGGGAAGGACACGAGGATTATTCCCTGCCTGGAACCAGCAGATTTGCCTCAGGGCAGCAGCCTGATGGCAGCAGCATTGAGACCCATAGTGGAATCTCAGGACTCACTCTCAACTAGCTAGGTGACCTGGAGCAAATCTCTTTCTCCAAGTTTCCTAAGACAGTATTAATAATCCTTGCACTACCCACCTCACAGGTTTGTGGTTAGAAACACATTTTATAACCCTTAAAGTGCAGGGTAAATGTGTGGTCAGCTTGAACTCTACACAGGAAAAGCCTAGTGGATGAAGAATGTCCATTGGCCAGACCATGATACAGGGATGGACAGCCCCAAGCTGGTCAAGGAGCTAAGATTGGAATGGACTGGGAAGAAGATAATGGACTGAATTTCATTTGGAAATGCACGCTTCTTTCAATAACCCTGGGGGAAAAAAAGCTCATCTTTTTTCACCTGTAGGCTGCATATGACTACATGTCCTATACATGCCCTATCTGCAAAGAATTAGAGTGGCAGGTCCCCCAAGAGGTAACTGAAAGGTCTGTGGTTGGTGTGAGTAGGCACCGACATATGACCAGTTGGGAATCACACAGGAGAAGAGGGAGACAAAACCAGAGAGGAATAGGATGAAGGCTAGTCATATAATGAGCCCCTGGGATAACTGGTATACAGCTTGTTTGTGCCATGGATATCCTGGTGATGTTAAAAAATCTAGAGGAGAGTCCCTGGTATGTTAAGTGGACCCCTTGTAAAGAGTTTATTCGATTGGGGGTTGGGGTGGAGAAAGAGTCAAATAGGAAGATGGTGGAGTGAAAGCAGTGACTTGCTTGAGCTCTCCCCCAAACCCCTCCAAATAACTCATAAAAAACGGCTCTAAACAAATTCTGAAGCAGCAGAACCCACAAAAAGACAGAGTGAAACAAATTTCCAGCCCAAGACAGCCTGGATGA